ACTGTGTGCAGAGAACAGGGGGAAGGATTCTCTGATAAGGAGAAGGAACTGGGAGAGAGAAAAGGGGTCCAATTCCCAACCTCCTTATCAGAGAATGTTCTAGGACTAAGGACTTTAGAGGTATATCTTGTTTTATTGTACTTTGCAGATATTGGTTTTTTTTTTTTTACAAATTGAAGATTTGTGGCAACCCTGCATCAGGCGAGTCTATCAGCTCCATTTTCCAACAGCATGCGCTCACTTCGTGTCTCTGTCACATTTTGGTAATTCTTGCAATATTTCAAACTTTTTCATTATTATTATATCTGTTATAGTGATCTGTGATCAATGATCTCTGATGTTACTATTGTAACTGTTTTGGGGGCACCATGAACCACGCCTATCTAGGACAGGGAACTTAATCAATAAATATGTGTGTTCTGACTGCTCCACCAACTTGCCATTCCCTGTCTGTCTCCCTCTCCTGGGGCTTCCTATTCCCTGAGACATGGCAATATTGAAATTAGGCCAGTTAATAACCCTACAATGGCCCCTAAGTGTTCAAGTAAAAGGAAGAGTCACACGTTTCTCACTTTAAATCTAAAGCTAGAAATGATTAAGCTTAGTGAATGAATCATGTCAAATGCCAAGTAGGCTGAAACCTAGGCCTCTTGCACCCAACAGTTAGCTGGGTTGTGAATGCAAAGGAAAATTCCTTGAAGGAAATTAAAAGTGTTGCTCCAGTGAACTCATGAATGACGAGAAAGTGAAACAGCCTTATTGCTGATATGGAGAAAGTTTTAGCGGTCTGAATAGAAGACCACAGCAGCAACAATATTCCCTTAAGTCAAAGCCTAATTCAGAGCAAGGCCCTAACTCTCTTCAATTCTATGAACGCTGAGAGAGGTGAGGAAGCTACAAAAGAAAAGTTTGAAGCTAGCAGAGGTGGGTTCATGAGGTTTAAGGAGAGAAGCCATCTCCATAACATAAAAGTGCAAGGTGAAACAGCAAGTGCTGATGTAGAAGCTGCAGCAAGTTATCCAGAAGATCTAACTAAGATAATTGATGAAGGTGTCTACTCTAAATGACAGATTTTCAATGTAGATGAAACAACCTTATATTGAAAGAAGATGCCATCTAGGACTTTCATAGCTATAGAGAAGTCAATGCCTGGCTTCAAAGCGTCAAAGGACAGGCTGACTTTCTTGTTAGGGCCTACTGTAGCTGGTGACTTTAAGTTGAAGCCAATGCTCATTTTATCATTCCAAAAATCCTAGAGCCTTAAGACTTATGCTAAACCTACTCTGCTTGTGCTCTATAAATGGAAAAATAAAGCCTGGATGACAGCACATCTGTTTACAACATGGTTTACTGAATATTTTAAGCCCACCGCTGAGAAAAGAAGATTCCTTTCAAAATATTACTGCCCACTGACAATGCATCTAATCACCCAAGAGCTCTGATGGAGATGTACAAGGAGATTAATGCTGTTTTCATGCCTGCTAATACAACATCCATTCTGCAGCCCATGGATCAAGGAGTAATTTTGGCTTTTAAGTCTTATCATTTAAGAAATACATTTTGTAAGGCTATAGCTGCCGTAGATAGTGATTCCTCTGATGGATATGAGCAAAGGAAATTGAAAACCTTCTGGAAAGGATTCACCGATTCACCATTCTAGATGCCATTAAGAACATTTGTGATTCATGGGAGGAGGTAAAAATATCAATATTAACAGGAGTTTGGAAGAAGTTGATTCCAACCCTCATGGATGACTTTGAAGGGTTCAAAGCTTCAGTGGAGGAAGTAACTGCAGATGTGGTGGAAATAGCAAGAGAAGTAGAATTACAAGTAGAGCCTCAATTGCTGCAATCTCATGATAAAACCCACAGATGAGGGGCTGCTTCTGATAGATGAGCAAAAAAAGTAGTTTCTTGAGATGCACTCTGCTCCTGGTGAAGATGCTGTGAACATTGTTGAAATGACAACAAAAGATTTAGAATATTACATAAACTTAGTTGATAAAGCAATGGCAGGGTCTGAGAGGACTGACTCCAATTTTGAAAAAAAATTCTACTGTGGGTAAAATGCTATCAAACAGCATCACATGCTACAGAGAAATCTTTCGTGAAAAGAAGAGTCAATCGACGTGGCAAACTTCATTGTTGTCTTATTTAAGAAATTGCCACAGTCACCGCAACCTTCAGCAACCCTGATCAAGTCAGCGGCCATCAATATTGAGACAAGACCCTCCACCAGCAAAAGGATTATGACTCACTGAAGGCTCAAATGATGGTTTGCATTTTTTAACAATATTTTTAAATTAAGTTATGTACTTTTTTTTTAGACATTAAAGCTATTACACACTTAATAGATTACACCATAATGTAAACAAAACTTTTATATGCACTGGGAAACAAAAAACTTGTGTGACTTGCTTTATTGTGATATTTGCTTTATTGTGGTGGTCTGGAATTGAACCTGCAATATCTCTGAGATATGCCTGTACTTAGGCAGCCTGGATGGGAGGCATAGAAGCAGAACATTCCCTTCAAAATCTCTCAATTTATTTAGATGCTGATTTTTTTTTCCATCAGAATTTTATAGTTTTGCTCATATAGATCTTGTACATATTTTTAGATTTATACCTAAGTATTTCTTTTTTTTTTTTTCTTTTGGTGTTAATGGAGATGGTATTGTGTTTTTAATTTCAAATTCTAAAAGTTCATTGCTAGGATTTAGAAAATCAATTGACTTATATATTAACCGTGTATCCTGCTTGTGATGGTTAAGATTGTATATCAACTTGGCTGGGCCATGATTCTCAGTGTTTTAATGTGATCACTCCCATGATTGAATATACTGTGTGTAGCCAATCAGATGAAAGGGAGTTTCCTTGGGGGTGTGGCCTGCATCTGAATGTAAGCAGACGTTCTGGTTTTTTGCTACTCTGGATCCTGCGGCTGCCTCCTGTCGTCTCATCTCTGCTTCTTGGGACTTGAGCTGTCAGTTTATCTGACAAACTTGGGATTTGTTGATCTTCACAGCCTGTGAGCGGAGCCCTGCTCTCTGACCTGCCCATCTTGGGTTCGCCAGCCTCTGCAGCTATGTGAATCAAGAGAAACCTTGTGGTCTTGCCTGCCGATCTTGGAATTCATCAACCTTCACAGTCTGTGAGTGGGAGCCCTGCTTTCTGACCTGCTGATCTTGGGCTTGCCAGCTTCTGTGACTGTGTGACTTGGGAGAGTCCTCTACCCTGATCCGTTCTAGCCTCTACAATCAGGTGAGCTGTTTCCTTGATATAACTCTCTCTCTCTATATATTCATATGCTTTACTGGTTTAGCTTCACTAGAGAACCAAGCCTAAGACACAGCTTCATTGCTATAACTGCTTATTAGTCCCAGAAGCGGTTTATTTTTTTTTTCTTTTTGTCGATTGTTTGGAATTTTCTACATAGACAATCATATCATCTGCAAAGTTTTCTTTCTTTCCAATCCATATACCTTTTATTTCCTTTTCTTGTCTTTCATTTTCCTTTAATATTAGGGCTTTGGCTTCAAGAACACTTGCTGTCAACTTTTTTATGAACCTGGTTGGGTGTCTCAAGCACAGTAGTTTTTAAAGTCCATTTAAAAATGAATTTAAACATTTGACAACATCAACCCAAGCCATCTGAAGTAGAGATGGCTAGTCACTAACAAAGATTCGTGTTCCCCCTCCGTAGTGTAGAATTTTGTGAAGCAGCTGCCCAATCAGCACTTCATTTAGCAGCCTCGTTTGCGTTGAGATGGGACCCTATGACTTGTTTTTGCCAAAGGAATGTGAGCAAAAGTGTTGTTTGTACTTCCAAACAAAGGTAGTTAAGTATCAGGTTTGTACTCCTCCATTCTTTCTTTTTCACCTTACCCTCAAATGGATGACTCTTGGACTACCTGGAGCTACAAGATGGCAGAGCCACAGGTGAAAGCAGCCTGGAGTTACCTATTGGAAATGTGCCTCCCGGAAGAGCCACTAATCGACAACACCTGCATTGGACTTTGTGTCGGCAAGAAATCAACTTTCATTGTGTTAAGGCACTGAAATTTAAGGGTCATCTGGAAAAACAGCTAGGTGTAATTATCCTAATATATTTTCCAGCTGCATAATGCCGGAATCCAAATGGAAGCACTGCATAAAAGCAGAGGGAGACGGAGAGGGAAAGAGGGACAGGAGGGAAGATGCAAGAGAAAATGAGGGAAACAAATGTATTAGTCCACTCATTGTTTTTGTTATTAGAAAAATACTTCTAAGAAAGGTCTTATCAAAGATTTCCTTTACACTATTGCTTTGCCATACAAAGGGAGTATGAACTACATACACAATTTTCTGGTTAGTTTTCAATGGGTATAGGAAAATCACAATGACTGCTGAATCGTATCTATCTAGTGCTCTTGGAACAGGAGGAAAGAAGTTCAATAATCATTAGGTAATTGATCTAGATATAATGAATATGCTGAACTGATACAGCAGACCCATAACTAAACACTTACCTCGCTTTCTGAAACTTTCCATTTCTTTTGCATTTGGGGGGATCCTTTAATGGAAGTGGGGTGGGAAGAGACTCACTGCTTATACCCACTAACAGGTATTAAAGTTATTAATTGGTTAAGTCTTGTTTTTGATACCAGAAAAAATATATGGAAGACAAAAACAAATATTCTACTTAGCTATAATTCTGCAAAAAGGTAAAATACTGACAATATTTTAAGCTAGTACTCTATGGGGAGATAATTGAGAATCAGTGATATAGAAAACCATTATTAAGAGTAAGAAAAAACATTACAGTACAAATAAGATTGTGGGACAATGCTGGCCTCTGGAGCCAGAGCCAAGTATAATGCTGGCTACAATCAGAAAATTATAGCATATTTTATTAGCAAGAGCCCACAGCAGCTGTATAGGGGAATGAACTGCCAATGAAGTAAATGCCTCAGGGACTTAGAACACTCGCGATTTCACTATACTTTGCCACCTAAATTATCATCACTTAGGTGCCTGCGTTTGAATTGGTTCTGTCAACAAGATAATGACCAGGTCTGTACTACCGTCAGGGAAATTAGCTTATAAAAATTAGGAATTTAAGGGGTGCATAGCTCTTGATCTAGCAACTAAACTGCTAGAATCTATTCCCAGAAATATTAACGCAAGTGTGCAAAAAGAAAAACAAAATTTTAATAGAAAAATGAGAACCTAAAGTTCATTGAGAAATGATCACATAAATGATGGCAAATCTGTACAACAGAATGCTGTGTACCTATTGCAAAGGATGAGTAGATCTTTATGTGCTGATATGGAAAGATGTCCTCAATGAGAGATGTATAGAAGTTGCAGATGTACAGTATGATTCTGTTTTTTAAATGTATAGGCTTTGTATACATTTAGAAAGAGTGGAAGGTTAAAGACCAGTTAAATCAGCCAATACTGATTTTAGGTTGGGACTTTCACTTTATACCTTCTGTAGCCTTCGTCTATTACTTTCACAATTAGCATCTTCACATACCTTACCCTCTAGCCAGACTTTTGCCATTCTCTGAATATTTCTCTTTCCTTACCTCCATGGCTATGCCAAGGTCACTTCTCTCTGGAACACATTCCCCCAAATAACATTTAACCAAACCCTGCCAGGCTGCTCAAGGCGACCTCTTCCATGAAACTGACCTCACTGCTTACCTTCCAGAGTATTCTCATTTGTCTAACCACCCACTAGCCTTGCAGTCTCTTGTAGGTATTTCTCATCAGTTCCACTTTGCACCTTAGTCTTACCTGTTCACGTTGGGTTTTATCTGTTTAACCACTTGTTAGACAACAGGCTTGTTGGGAGAAGAAACCAAGATTTACTCATCTTTGTGTCCCCTACAATGCTCAACATAACAGATGCTTAACAAATGTTTGCTGAATCAAGTTTTTTTTTGCAATTCAATGTGTATATGCTAATAATTGAGAAAAAGACCCAATAAGCACCATTTTCTTTTCAAAATTTTATTGACATGAAATCTTCAGTATGCTTCTGCTTAATTTTTATAAGATAAAATCTGAAAGTTTAAAATCAATAGTTTTATAATATGCCACAATTACAGTAAGTATGGGAGGTCAGGGTCAATCATTTTGAGGAAAATCTTTCATAATTCTGTAAACACTAATATTTACAATATTCTTTAATATAGATATAACATGGCATCATATTTAAATGTACAAAATAGCTCAAATCACTTTATTACAGAATATTCCAAAACCCAAACTAATGAAAGAAGTCCATAAACACTGATAACATTTGGAAAAAACAACAGCAATAGGTTTATCAATAATCATGCAGAATGTCTAGTGAACTTATACAAAACACGTAATTTACATGTCAGATCCACAAATTCAAAGATATATGACTGATCTATCTAAATCATGCTAGAATCTGAATATTATTTTACAAACCACATGTTGAAACAAGTGTTCTGTGGTAACCTATGAAGTAGGAATACAAACTATGAGACCATATTTAACAGATGTTTTAATTCCTAAGAGCCTACTCTAGGAAACCTCAAAGATAGCAAATCAGGCATCTCCCCCCTGAAATTAATGTTCTGATGAATATGAAAGGAAAAAAATAAAAACCCAGACAGTATGAGAAAATTTTACTTTCTCAAATTTAGTTTGGTATAGAGCCTTGGCATAATCACAGCTTCTGTGGGATATTTTTATTTTCTCCTGATTTAGTAGGGACAATGCATTTATTTCCTGCCTTGCTCTAGAAAGGATTTAAGTAGTTTAAAAGACAGATTCAGAAAATTAGCTAAAGTATATTACATTATTTTTTCACAGTGGCTTTCTGGAAATACTGCAAAATATGGCATTAATTTTAATTTCTTTGTTAAATTCTGTATTAGCCCTGATGGAACAGAAGCTTATTAAAATGTGTGTGCTTTTCTTTGTGCTTGCGTGAAGTAAGTGCTCCTAAATGCCATAATGCGTGACTCTAAATTTAGTCTCTAACTATTGGCAGATGAAGGTACAGGTGAAAAAAATAAAATCAGGGTACCCTGACTGCGTTACTAGTGAGAAAACACAACAGGACGCCTTTGAAGACTTGAGGATGAAGGCAGGAGTGGCTACATGACAGGCTGTCAGTTGTCATATGGCTCCTCTGTAGGCACAGGACAGAGCATCCATCTAGAGCATTCTGACTCAGTTTCTCCAGCTTACTTTGTCAGGACAACAGTAAGATGAACAGGAAGAAAGCAAACTAAAGGCAGGAGGCCTGCTCAGGTTGGCATGTTGAGGCCACGCGCTACCCTGTGCTGCCCAGAGAGCAGCAGGGGCTATGATGCTGCTGAATTTGCATGTCTCAGACCTCACCCCACGCCACAGTTATGGAGAGAAGGTGAGGGCAGGATGTAACAGTTTTAGGGAAATATGAATGGGTCTGTTCATCTCTATTTTAGAGGTCTACCTTTCAACAGACGACAGAATGAGTGAGCTGGTACCTGTATGCTGAGGTAAGAAATAGAAAAAGTGGGGATGAAGGGAAAAATTTGAGGAAAATGCAGGCAAAAAAAGAAAGGCAGTAAGATGTTCCCCTTTGAAGTATGGCCAGCAAAACTAAAGATTAAGAAGGGGAACAAAAATGTCTACTTGAAGATAAAAACTCCCCGTCTCCTATTCTTTTGAGGATGAATGGTCCCAAGCAGCACTCCTGAGTTTTTGTTAGGTAGGGAAGGAATGACGTTCAGGTCTATAGATTTACAGTAGTGGGGATCACAGTGCTCTTGGCTGGGGTGGCAAAGCTGCCCTAGAGTTTGCTGTGGTGGGGGTGGGGAGAGGGTAGTGACTACTGTTTTTTCAATGATAACCTTCAGAATACAGGCAGGGCCAACTTATTCATTAGACATAGTAGGCACAGTGCCACAGGCCCATAATATTTTATGGCCCACAAAAATGTTTTCTTTAAAAATCAGAAGAAAAAGATACTTTTAGACTGAAAAAAAAGAAACACTTTAATATATAACATCAATATGTTAACAGTTATAAAATGTAATTTTTAGTATTTTTTTATGGAGGAAGGAGCCCATGAAGCACAAGTGCCTAAACCAATCAAACCAAACCTGTTGCTGTCGAGTTGATTCCAACTCACAGGGACCGTACAGGAGGAAGTAGAACTGCCCCACAGGGTTTCCAAGGCTGTGATCTTTATGGAAGCAGACTGCCACATCTTTTTCCTGCAGAGCAGCTGGTGGGTTTGAACTGCCAACTTTTTGGTTAGTAGCAGAGCATTTTAACCACTGTGCCACCAGGGCTCCTTGCAAAAAGTGTCTACAGCCCACAAAAACCCCTGAATATACGGCCAAACCATTTGTAGGAAACAGAAATTAAAGATCACCTGAAGGATTAGAGAAGAATGGTCTGAAGGCTAAAATAATGGAAGGGGGAAGGACAGTCTGATTTTGTTGATTGTTCCACTGATTTTTCATTTTTTAAATGTTACTTTGCGATTGTATTTTTAAAGAGAGCTAGATTTAATATTGAGGAAGTACTAGTGTCAATTTTCATTAGCCAAGCCAAACAACAACAACAACAAAATGTTAAGCTCATTATTTTACAGCATTCTATAACAGGAAGAATCAGGACAAAGAGACTTGGATGTTTTTAAAGTCCTATCTCAACTTCTGTACACATTACTTTTTGTTGTTATGTGTCATCGAGTTGATTCCAACTCATAGTGACCCTACAGGACAGAGCAGAAGTGCCACATAGGGTTTCCTAGGCTGTAATCTGTGCGGGAGCAGATTGCTAGGTCTTCTCCTCCGCAGAGTGGCTGGTAGGTGGGTATGAACAAAGGTCAGCAGCTGAGCACTTAACCACTGTGCTGCCAGGGCTCCTGGTGTACACATTAGAGCTGGGAAAAACACACATCATTTGTGACCCTGCCTCCTGGGCTTCCTGTGTTACACTCCCACTCAGTTCTTGCCTTCCCCTGTGCATCTCCAAGGCCCCGACTTCAACTACCCTCAGAGCCCAAGGGTGGCAGTCACAGGAGCGTGGGCACCTGCAATTACAAATTCATTTTAACATATGACAAGAGAAAAAAGGAAGCAGGAAAAATGAATGGGGGAGAAGGACAGGAGACAATAAATAAAATTTTATTATTCTGAAATTGCACTGTCAGAAAAAAAGGGTGTAAGGACTGACAGTAAAATGTTAACTGTGGTTTACTGGACAGTAGGATTGAGACATTTTTTATTTACAGTTTTCTGTATTTTAAAAATATACTTTTAAATTCAGAAAAAAAGTACTCAGTAAATATTATTTTTAAAATTGTGCTATTAAGGTCTTAAACTCTGAAGATTGTCATATTCAAGTTCCTTATAGGCTGATTAGATGGTTGGTTATACATACGGTTAACCACTGGTATACAGAGAGACTCAGATCTGAGAAAAGAACTTCTAACAATTTCTATTACTTTCTATTATTGAAATTGATCAATACAACAGGGAGATGTCAGTCAAGAAACGTAATACTACTTTCTAGTATCTGTTCCTCTGATGTAAAGATACTCAGGTTTTCTGATTATTAGTCTAGAGCCTTTACACCTCTCATTCCCAAAAGTAACTGCTTTATAAACTATGTTTCACTGTTTATCCTAAATGTACACAGAGAAAAGGAAAATACTAACAATTTTTTTTAAAAACCTGTGTTAATCTGGGAACTAGAATGTCTCAAAGTATAAAGTTACAGGTGAATAGGCCAAAAATAAGGATGAGCCATAAAATCTTAGACCTGGAAGGATATTGGGAAGTTAATTTAGACCTTACTTGCACAAGAAGAATGCAGGCCTAGAGACGGTAAACTCTACTTCCCAAGATCATGAGACTGAGACAACACTGACTCAAGTTACCTAAAATTGGCTCACTGCCCCTTCCTATATGGCCATATCCTTACTTGGATACTGACTGTAACCCAAAGAGCAAAAACACAGAATCATACTCATTTTGGGTATAATAAAACTGTTGGTAATAGGAATGATTAGAAAAAAGGTATAAATCATTTCTCTGGTTAATAGAAATAAACTAAAATCTATAAGATTTCAATAAATCAGGCAGCATTACTGCTTACTTTTATTAAAAATGTACTTAGAGGTAAAAAATCACCTATGTGAGACCAAACGGTCAACAATTACTTTAAAACAAAGATGAGAATGTAAGGAGGCAGGAAAACCAGGTTAATGGAAACAGAACAACCAGAATGGAAATAATGAGAATGTTTACGCAACGTGAAGAATGTAACCAATGTCACTGAACAACTTGTATAGAAATTGTTGAATGGAACCTAAACTGTTGTGTAAACTTTCATGGAAAACACAATAAAATATTATTTTAAAAAAATGTACTCAAAGGTAAATCATAATTCTGAGTTCTGTTGTTTGAAGATAATGCAAGACCTTGCAGTGTCTCAGGGCCATGAATCTTAATATAAATTCTAAATGTTCGCAATTCTCTAGATCAGACATTGGGAAAATAAAGGACCAGGTAGCCTGTCTTTTGTGAGAACCATGAGCTAAGGATGGTTGTTACCTTTTTAAAGAGTTGTAAAAGGGTTTAAAAATACAAAAAAGACTATCTGAAAGAAACTGCATGTGGTCTGCAAAGCCTGGCCTTTCACATAAAATGTTTGCTGACCTCTGTTCTAGATTTAGAAAGTATGGGAAATTGGGTTGAATATGTAGTATGTCTTGGAAGGCTTTTTTGTTTTTAGAATTAAATCTCTGATTTATTCAAGCTTTACTGTAATTTACCTCTTTCTCCTGATAGTAGGTAGTAGGGAAGAAAAAATAGTTATGATTTCCTGTAATCCACTTAAAAAGTGGTTCCACACACACTAGTATAAGTAGACATACACTTGAAGGTGTAATTAATTTATGTAAATGAAATCCATAAAAAAATGTTTCAGACAGCTGAGAAAATGGCATATCCTGTGAAGCCCTGGTGGTGCAGTGGTTAAGAGCCACGGTGAGCTATGGCTGCTAACCAAAAGGTCAGCAGTTCAAATCCACCAGCTGCTCCTTGGAAACCCTATGGGGCAGTTCTACCCTGTCCCACAGGGTCACTATGAGTCTGAATCGATTCGACGGAAACGGGTTTTGGCAGACAGTATTGTTACAAAACAAAATGGAAGTAAATATCTATGACTAAAACACTGGTATCTGATTCTCTCCTTTGGGCCTTTCCTCTATCTGTTCTTTTAAGATTTTCTCCTCATGCCTCTCTCACCTCCCCAGAGTGTGCTGCTAGATTTATTAAATCAGCAGTTCTCAACTATTTTCAGTCCAAATTATTTCTCTGACCACCCAACCACACCCCATCTGCAACCATAAACAACCTCACCAAAAAACATGGAAAAGAATGGAAGTGCTTCTAAATGAGATATGAGATACCAAAAGTGGAATATAATAAAAGGCTGATTCAAGGAAGAAATAAAATTGCAGACGCATTCCACTTATCAATATAAATATAACAGTAAAGCGGACCACCACTGTAAGTTTTCAGTCTACTGCACTGCTTACAGTATGCTACTGTATCTTACATGCTACTGTATGTATCTTAAGACTGGAATACTGTGGCATGCCCTGGTTTATACAACACTCTGCTAATCACTGTATGAAAACAAGTCCATATCTCTTTCTTTTCACATGACTTACGTGGTTAAGTTTGGATTTTGTGAACTACAGAAAAAATAATACCAGTTATGCCATTGTTAACTAAATTATAGCAATTTCAAGGTTATAAGTTTGAAAGTAGGATGTATCATGTCAACACTAAAGTATCTTACTTTAAAATAATTACATTAACAATTCCTTTGGACCCATAGTACAGTTCTCTTCAGCTTCTCCATTCTCATGCTTGCTTTTATAATTGGAAAGGAACAAATTTTCTATTTGAGTCAAGAATTCTTCAGCAATGAAGCAATTGGTCACTTTACTCAGAGTTTTCCTCAGACACTCCAAAAGCTAGTTGAAAAGAAACGTTTTATATTTAAATACACAGAGTAAGAAAAGGGTTTGCATTACTATCACTATTTTATCCCTCTCCAAATTTCACATTTCCTAATGCTCAAATGTAAAACATTCTCCTTAAATGTGGTTGAAGATTCCCTTGTGTTTTACAACTACACAGCTGCTGTGTAGGAAACCAGTGTTGAGGAATGGTTAGGTTAGTTCCTTCATGCTATTACATGATGAGAGAAAACTGAGATTGCATATATGATGCTTTCTACTTTTGACAAATTTGGTGACTTTGCTCCTCTCTTTTGGTAGTTACATTTTACAAAGCAGGATAATCCAACAGGATAAAAATCTATGTCATACAAACCCAGGACTCTACCATTTCAAAATTAGGATGCTAGAGTCTATTTTCTGAGAAATGTGCAAATTAACTTTCCAACAGCACACAGAAAAAGTAGAGATAACAGAAAAGGGTAAAATATATGAAAAAGAAAATCAGTTTAAATGTTCTATTCCCAAATTGCTATATAAAAAAACGGCAAATGATGCCAGTTTACTGGTCTTAACTCATTACAGTAGCAAAACGAGAAGTGAAATAATTAATCAAAAACCTGCATCTCCTACCAGAACGTTAAATAAAATGACCACTTAAATTTAATTGCTAGATTTATACCACTATTCATAAAAGTGATCAATTGTTAAGACTAAAATGGAAACATGGTGCTTTTGAATTTAATAAAATGAGAAAAATGTTCTCCATTGTGTACAATAATCTAAGAAATTTATCAACCAATGCTGACAAATTTATTCTAAAGTAGTATTATTTCTATATACCAGCTTGGGCAACAAAACACATTACTAATTATCTCCTAGAAATTAATTTTAGAAAGGAAAAAGCAATTAAGGAAATATACAGAAAATGTATCCACAAAGCATCAGGCACCATGGGAAAACACATCAAGATGAACAGCTTTAGAAATTGTGAACAACTGAACCAATTAAAACAAAGGCAGCTTACTTTCTGCAAACAAGTCAGGTCGGAATCCCGGTGAAAGATTTTATCCATGGGGACACTGCTGTAGGAAGAAATATGAAAAACAAAAAACAAAAAACAACCAATGAAACAAACCCTATAAACAAATCAGTTTTGTAATAAACTACCACGGATGCCATATATCAATTCTATATTTAACTTGGGTTTTCTCTAAAACATAATTTAATGAGAAATATAGCAGATGTGCAACCATGTCAAACCACAGCACATACCTATGGGAGAGCCTGTATTTTTCTATTATCCATCTTGTCTTTTCAAATACTAATCCCCACCGAGGTTCTTCTAACATCTGTTGTACTTCAAATTTGTATGGTAAACCTAGAAAAGCATAAAGAAGCACATTTTCATCAACTGTCTCCAATCTCCTTTTAATTACTTAAAATTCCCTTCAGTGTTTTCCTAACCAGTTTGTCAGACCAGCTGAACAGCACTTTAAACATAGTAGGCATTCATTAAATATTTATTGCCTAACTGAACTTGGTCCCCAAGCATATTAATAATAAAAAAAAATAAAAGTGCCATTTGCATGACAAGTCTATGCAAGGTACTGTGAGAGATAGGATAAGCACACAATGTATCATCCAAACCGAGAGACTTTTTGAGCAAAAGGGGACGCTATTAATAATTATTCAAGAATCACAGGCTTAAATCAAGATGGTCCTAGGCAAACCAAGACATATCGTGATCCTAGTGATAAGGTGTTTTATACAGGTCACACTTACACAATGCTGTAAGATAGATGGCATTACTCCTATTTTACAGATGAGAAAACTGAGGCTGAGACAGGTTATTAAACAACCTGCTTAGGCTAGTAAAGTGGCCAAGTCTGGATTTTCAACTTCAGCAGGTCTGCCTGACTTAAGACTAGACAAGAAATAGATTTGGAAAACGTGTGATTAATTCTGGGAAGGCAGTAACTGCACTTGAGTCAAAGCTGTCATGTTAAACTCTGGAAGAAAGGAGTCCAAGGGATAGAAATCATGTATACTGCTAGTAGGATGAGCCTACTCAGAAATTTCTCTCAAAATCCTTGTCAGCATATTTGCAGTACACTGAAAGAAAAGCTTAGCTGATTCATTACCAAAGGCCAATATTATAATGATAACAGTAACACTTAAATGGTGCTTACTATGTGCCAGGCTTTAGGTGCTTTGCATACGGCAAGTCCCTTAACTTTTCCAACATGCCTCTTGAAGTAGCTATCATTATTAGCCCCATTTTTTTTTTTTTTTTTTTTTTTTTTAATGAGAACACTGAGACACAGAGAGGGTAAATAAGCTGTTCATGGCCATATAACAAGTAAGCAGAGCTAGGATTTGAACTTATACAGTCCAGCATGTAAAATGCTCTTAACCTTCACATTAAAATTGCCTCTTTACTGGGCTTCTGCCATAATTATGCTTTTCAAGTAAATAAAATGCCAGCAAATCAGAAGACATGAAACAATTAGGGAAACAAAACCATGAATATTCTCCCTCACAATTAAAACAATAACAAAAAAACCCCATTGCTGCTGAGTCGATTCCAACTCATAGTGACCCTATAGGACAGAGAAGAACTGCCCCACTGGGTTTCCAAGGCTGTAAATCTTTACATAAGCCAACTGCTGCATCTTTCTCCTGCAGAATGGCTGGTGGGAAAGAACCGCTGACTTTTTGGTTAGCAGCCGTGTGCTTAACCACCATGCCACCAGGGAATTGTTAATATCTTCCAAACAGGCATTTTTTTCAGGTGTGTGGAAGAAGGAAGGGGGGGCAACAAGGGTGATAATGATTAACATATTTTTAAAATTTTTGCATTTTTCATTTCTCCTCTTCAAAAAATTAACAAGAGTGGCACATAGTACACAAGCTATTAAGCAAAATCTTTTAGTTGATATCACTTGATATGCTTCAATCACCTACTAAGCACAGATATCAGCCATAATCATAACTACCTATCGAAAACCTATTATTTGCCAAGCACTACATATATGATCGCTAACCATCACAACCACCCTGTCAACAAGCTAAGAAATTTTTCTCAAATTACAGATACAACAACGGAGAATGAAGGAAGTTAAGTAACCTATACCAGATAACATGACCAGTAAATGTCAGAGCTGGGATTTGAATCCGGGTAAGCAATTCCCACTCTTAATCAAAGTAGAAAACGGGAATAAAGAGAGGTAAATAAATGCATTTTCAGTCTGTGCTGACACAGAACCACAAAAACACAAAAAAGAATGTATAATTCTATGCAGTATTGTTAAGAATAATTTTCTAAGTAAAAATAAGGCACTGAAACCAGTAAAAATTTCCTTCTTTGCTGAATACGTTAATCCACTAAAATAGTAACAGAAGAAAACTGATCAGAAAATGCTTAACCATATTTTAAAGATATGACATGAGTTAAAAGACAGAGTATCCCACTGGCTTCTTGTTGTTCTAGAAAACCTTAATTCTTAAAACAGGATTTCCAAGAGAAGCAAACTGAAAGACCTAGGATTAAGACCCAATATGCAGTGTAACATGAACAAGTCATTTATGAGGCAGCTCTGTCTAATACAACGTATGTAATGACGGTAATGTTGAATACTTCTACACTATCCAATGGTAGCCATTAGTCACATGTGACTATTGAACACTGAAATGTAGTCAGGGTGACTGAGGGGCTAAATTTAAACAGCTTTATGGGGGTATAGCTACATACAAAAACTGCATTCATTTAAACGTACAATTTGGTAAGTTCTGACAAATGTACACCTATGTTAAACTATGACCATAATCAAGATAGTGAGCATCCCATCATTTGGTCAGTTTTGTTTCATGTGTTTTGAGTATCTCTTATTAGGTACATACACATTTAAGACTGCTAAGTCCTCCTAATGAATTGATTCCTTTAGCATTATAAAATGACCCCTATACCTGGTTATATACATTGTTCTGAAATCTATTCAGTCTGATATTACTATAGCTTTCCAGCTTTTATTGTTACCAAGAATCTTTCTTCCATCCTTCTATTTATATCAATATATATTTAGTTACATCTATATTTAAGTACATTTCCTATAAGCAGCATATAGTTGAGCCTTGCTTTATTATCCATTGATAATCTGTGCCTTTTAAGTGGGGTGTTTAGATGATTTACATTAAATGTGACTACTGATATGGGTAGGTTTAAATCTATGATCTGCTATTTTCTATTTGTCTCATGTGTTCTTTATTCGCTTACTTTTCTGTTCTCTTTTGGACTGAAGATTTTCTATTATTTCATTTTCTCTACATTGTTGGCTTATGTGTGATTACTTTGTTATTTTTAGTGGTTGTTTACAGTATATAGTATACTTCTTTATCACACAGCCTATCCTCAAGTGGTATTATACCACTTCACCTATATGATAAAAACCTACAGTATATGTTCATTCTTCCCCTCCTAGTCTCTGTAGTATCACCATTTTACTTTTACATATATTATAAACTCTACACTATACTGCTATAATTTTTGTCTAAGCAGTCAATTATCTTTCAAAGAGATTAAAACAATAAAAAAATAATCTTTTAAAATATTCACGAAATTGCTACTTCGGATGCTCTTTATTCCTTTGTACAGATACATGTTTCCAACTGGTGTAATTCTTTATGCCTAAAGGAACTCCTTTAAGGTTTCCTGTAGTGCGGACTTCCTGGTAATACACTGTCTCACTTTTTCTATGTCTAAAAGTTTTTATTCACCTGTTTTTTAAAGATATTTTCGCTGGGTTTACAATTTTAGGTTAACAGTTGCTTCACTGTTTTTCACATTGTTTCTGACACGAAGTCTGTTGTGAACCTTATCTTTGTTCCTCTGTACGCATACATGAGTATTTTTCTCTCTGGCTGCTTTTAAAATTTTCTCTTTAGTACTGCCTTTCAGCAATTTGATTATGATGTGCCTTGGTATAGTTTTCTTCATGTTTCCTGTGCTTCAAGTTCATTGATTCTTTGGATCTGTGGGTTTAGTTTTTATCAAATTTGGGAAATTTTTGGCCAAGTTTTTTCAAATAAATTCCCCTTCTTCTTCAGGAACTCCAATTAGATGTCTTTTAGGGGGTTCCTGAAATTGTCACACAGCTCAGTTGCTCTGTTCACTTTTTCTTCTGGTATTCCCATTATACATACATTACACCTTTTGTAACTGTCCCACAGTTGTTGGATACTTTAATTCCTTTTTCTCTTTGCATTTCAGTTCCAGAAGTTTGTACTGATGTATCTTCAAATCCACTCATTCTTTCTTTAGCTGTGTCCAGTTTACTGGAGAGCCCACCAAGGGCATTCTTCATTTCTGTTACAGAGCTTTTCCTTTCTAGCATTTCCTCTCGATGTTTTTCTTAAGAGTTTCAGTCTTTCTCTTACATTACCCATCTTTTCCTGCATATTGTCCACTTTTTCTATTAGATCCCTTAGTATATTAAATCAGTTATTTTAAATCCATGATCTGACCATTGCCTCTTCAGACTGCTTTTTGCCTTTTAGCATGCTTTGTAATTTTTGTTGAAAGCTGGACACGATGTGTTCGGTAACAGGAACTGAGGTAAACAGGTCTTTAGTGTGAGGATTTATGTTTATCAGGCCAGGAGTTACACTGTTTACTGTTTGTTGTAGCTGCAGGTGTTTGAAACTTTAATTTCCTCTAGTAGCCTTATGTATGTCTCTGGGTTTCCCTAGAAACTCCTTAAATACACTCTGTGCCTTGTAGTTCCTTAAGCTGTATTCTTCTGTAATTATACAGGAGCCATGTTGATGTGGTACCCTGGGGGGAATGTAAGTGTTGTATAATCCTACGATTAGGTCTCAGACTTTTAGTGGGCCTGGACCTGTAGGCTGTGACTTTCACAAGTGCATTTCAGCTTCCACCCACCTCCTTGAGTGAGACAGGAAGGCTATTAGGAGCTGGAGTCAGGTATCTCCTTCCTTCACATCAGTTAGGGTCCGGCAGTTTCCCTTGAGGGCAGGAAGAGAACAGAATGCTCTGGGCGTATTTCAAATCTCTGGGTCTTTTTCAAATCATGAAAGTGTGGGTGGTCCCTTAAGGGTAGGCCCCTAGGAATTTTTAATTCTCAAGCTAGCTGACAGTCAGCGTCTAGTAGTTTATCAGTTAGTTTACTTTTTTCTACCAGTTTCTGGCTCCAATGGCTTCTGTATCAGCAAGCTGTAACTCTCTATATTCTCCTGTCCCTCTAGTTTTCAGTGACGAAGGGGGGTTGGTTTGTCCAGTTCTCCGATGGATCTAAGAGTGGTTGATTTGAAGTTTGATCGGCTTTTTTCTTATCGTGCGGAGTGATGACTTGCAAGCTCTTCACATGTCAGAGCAGAAACTCTGTTCTTCCACATCTCTACCTAACTTTCTGAACATATGGAATGCAGTTATAATACCTATTTTATAATGCTCTCCCCTCCTAAACCTAACATCTGTGAAAGTTCTGCGTTGGTTATGACTGACTGATTTTTCTCATTATGTGTCATATTTTTCTGCATTCTTTGCATTCATAATTTTTGAATGGATTCAAGACCTTGGAATTTACTGAGCGCTGGATATTTATGTATTTTTATAAGTATTCTTGAGCTTTACTCCAAGATACAGTTAAATTACTTGGAAACAGTTTGATCCTTTTGGGTCTTGTTCTTAAAATTTGTTAGACAGGGCCAGAGCTGTGTTTATTTTAGGGCTAATTATTCCCCTGCTGAGGCAAGATGCTCTGAGTACTGTATCTAAGCCCCATGAATTATGAGGTTTTCCAGTTTGGCTGGGGAGAACAGACACTCTTCCTGGCCCTGTATGAGCATCCAGTACTGCAGTACTGTTCCCTCCAATCCTTTCTTTCAGATGGTTCTTCCCTCTGCCTAGAGTATTTCTTCACATGTATGTGTTGGTCTGTGTTTTGTTAAATACTCAAGGCATTATCTTCCACAAAACTCTGAATTCACTTTCTATGAGGTACTCTTTTCCTCTGGCATTCTGTCTTGCAAACTTAGCTGCCTTGGTCTTCCTGGATTCTCAGCTCTGTCACCTCAACTCTGGGAGTCTGACAGGCTCTGGGTGGGTTTCTTCTCTTTGTGCCATAGCCTGGAAACTCTCTTGGTAAGCTAGGATAATTTTAGGGCTCACTTCATTTACTTCCCATCTCTCAGGGATCACACCCCTTGCTGCCTAACGCTGTGTCCTAAGTCCCACTGTGTTATATATTTTGTCTAGTTTTTTGGTTGTTTTCAGGCAGGTTCTTGGCGTTCCATTTTGGCGAGAAGTGGAATTCCAGGAACTGAATTTTAAATTTATTTCTAATTACTTTAAATTTTAGTAACTAGTAGCTATTAGCTGGGGTTAGTAACTAGTATATTGGAAAGCACCATGGTAGTGGTTCACTCCCATAATCTAACGGATTGTGAGATTAATAAATGATTTAAATTGAGAACAAGTTAATTGTGATTTCCCCTTTTACAATTTTTAATGAAATTATACTGGACCAAAGAATGATATTATGAACTCCAGACTAAAGCTAATGCCAGTACTATCCATTCAATAAAAACCAAGAGAATGCTGAATATTTCCTAGATGGAAGGTACCTGATTAGGTGCTAAAGGAGATACAAAGACAAAACACAGACCCTGCTACGTTTATATGTGTTATAACGTACATAAGTTACATTATAAGACAAAAGCGACCATGAAGGAGGAAAAAAAGTGTTGCAGATGCAAAGAGGACAGAGCAACTAACAGTAAACGATGCAGGGGTACTACTGAGAAGTCTTTACCAAAGAGAAGACATCTGAGTGAGATCACTGACAATGAAGAGAACTTAATTTTTAAAAATTAGTACTTACTTCATGCCAGGCCTTGTGCTGGAAACAGTATAAAAAGAGTATAATATAGTATCTACTCTCAAGGAGCTCATGATCTAATGAGGAAGAGAAATACAATGTGGTAACTGCAGTGACAGTGTCCAGTAGATTATGGGCACCCAGGAAGGAAAAACCACCTAGACTGGGAAAAAAGAAACTTGCTAGAAAGGATGAAGAGTGGAGGAGCAAAGTATGAAGGCATAAAACAGCAAGGTATATTGGATCGAGATAGTATTAGAACAACCAAGTGCAAGGTAGTAACTGATGAGGCTGGAGAAGACATCAGACAGGAAGGCTCTTGAACACCAAACTAATAAACTTAGATTTTACCATGGATGTTGTAAGAAATCTTTTAAGGATTTTAAGAAAGTGTAGGGGGCAGGTTAACATAACCAAATTTGTGCTTTAAAAAAATCACTCTGGTAATTAGTGGGGACAGATTTCGGGGTGATAAGACTTAAGGAGGTTTGTTAAGTAAACAGTCCAGAAATACGCTAATGAATGCCTGAACTAGAACAGTGGTAGTAAGGATGGAGAAGAGGGAACAAATATCCTAGTGATGTCACTGTTTTTCTTCCAATGATTCCCACCCGCTTTTTACACTCCCTTCCTTTCCCACCTGCTAAACTACTTCCCTATCCAGTCACAGTTGGTTGAACCCCAAGTGGACATAAACCCTAGAGGAACCAAGTCTTATGATGAGCTAAGCCAATCAAATTATTTCTTGAGACAGAATCGGAACTAAGAGATAAAAATAGTAATTGTTAAGCCTGAATGGGGAGTTGGTGGCAGGGTGATCATTTTTTTTTCCATTTGCAAGACACAGCAGAGAAAGTCGGCATTTATGAAAAAATTTCCATGAAAACAGAGACTTTGTTTTGTTTACTGCAGTGTCTCCAATACCTAGCACACACATTGCTTGGCCATAACTTCTCTCCATGTGTAATCCTTTTGCCCAATGGCCACGGTAGCCTAGTAGGGACTTGAATGTAGCAGGACACTATGAGGGGGAAGAGGGTGGCTGCACTAGGTGGTACACAGTGATTCTCTAGTTGAGGGCACCAACTTTTCCATCAAATACTTTTGCACAGCTGTAAATTCTTTGCTTCTTAAGATGAAAAAATATGAGGGTAGAGCACAAAATTGAGTCGATTTTGTTGAAAACTTACGATAGGAGCCATCTGGACTAATTTCATCACTTATTACCAGGCAGGTGATCTGGGAATAAGGTAAAGGATTGTTTCGATTATAGGGACTAACAATCATTCCAATGAACTTTGCACCTCCTCTGGAGAAGTAGCTCTATATTTAAAAGAAAAAGAGTAATTAGTTTCAACTACATACATGTAAAACTCGGTATTTATCCAAGCCAACATTTTAAATATGCAGTGGGGAAAAAGTGGGGGGGGGGGGGGGGGGGGACAAAAAAAAGGTATGCTAAAAACTTCACATCCACACAGCAATTAGATATCTTATATATTCATTCCACAGTCTAAAATTTTCAGGCCAAAAGGTGTTCAACTCAATCTGAAATGACTATCACGTTAAATCACCTGGCTTGCAAAATTTACATTCCCCATGAATATATTTACTAACTATATTCACTATCCTTCAGCTGTAGTCTTTATCAATATGGTAGTAATTTATAAACAGCTTCCTATAGCAACATTCACGTATCAAACATAAAATTGCAGAAGAAAATAAAACTCTTATTTACAGATGCAATGGAGGCCTGATGGCACAGTGGTTAAGCACTTGGCTACTAACTGAAAGGTTGGCAGTTTGAATCCACCAGCTGCTTTGCAGAAGAAAGATGTGGCACTCTGCGCATGTAAAAATTACAGCCTTGGAAACCCTACGGGGCAGTTCTACTTTCTTCTACAGGGTCACTATGAGTTGGAATCAACTCAATGGCAATAGGTTTAGTTATGGGTTTTATTCAGAGATGGAAAATGTATTATGTACAATTCATTCATTTAGACGTAGTTCTATCACTAGCTGTTCCCATTCACTTGTAAAGGCTTTGAGAGCACTTTATCACTTTTACTTTCATGGCCTCTCTGTATTAAACAAAATAGATGATTTTTCAAATGTTTGCATAAGCATGTATTACTCTTACAATTAGAAAAAGATGTTATTTCAAAACCCTAGATGTAAAGAATATTAGAAATGTAGTATTTTATTAGAAACATAAAAAAGTATAATATACTTAATAGAATGCAACAAGGGAGGGAGAAGATGTAATCACTTACAGAATATATATATAAAATAGCTATAAACACACCTGGTATTTGGCTTGGGTGTCAATATCTCGTAACGAAGGATTAGGATCGAAGGCAGGATGAGAATGATACCATCCAATAACACTATAGCCTCTAACAGCCAAGGTTTCTGAGGCCTGTGTCTGTGACACAGGATCCATCTCACATTGTAGTCCTGTGCTGAGACTGTTACATGGTTCTGCTGCACAGACCTGAAAGGGATTGATCCTCGTATGATTAGACTAAAATTCTGCTGATTCTATTCCTTTAATGTTTTCAAAAAAAGATACAGAAATCTTTAAGAGCCAAGCCTTTTATCTGATATCACAGTCTGTAACTTGCAAATGAATTATATGCCAAAAATGTGATTGCATGCCAGGAACTTAGAATGTATTTTTCTACTCAAACAAGGTCATAATAATAGTTTTTCAGGTTAGCCCACACAATAACTTGTAGAGAAGTATGTTTTCATTGACTCCTATTATTTACACCTGATGCATACCAGTTTTCAACTACAAGTGTTAGTACAAATTTCCTGGACTCTTAGGAGTCATAGCTTTTTAATGCTATAAATAATGAGGAGCCAAAACCTGCCTGTGTTCTCTCTTTCTCAACGGTAAAAAGCAACAGGTTCTCAATATATGGAATGTTAAGTCACTTCTGGCAACATACAACCTTCTACATTTGCATATTCTCATTCATATCAGGTAAAGTCTGCATTTTAATTACAGTCCCTGAATTTTATAAAACTACTTGGTATGGCAGCAGGACTAAGTAATAATTCAAAAATTTTAAAAATAAAGAGAACTTACTTCAACTACTTTATCAACTTCTGAGTATCTTCCGCCTAACAGACCAATCACTTCTGCCATAGAAACATGAGCATGCTAAACAAAATAAAAGACAGACTTAGCCCAAATGCACAAACCCACTTGACAAAAAATTAGAATAAAACTCACTTATCATAGGAAAGTCATTTACAAATATGGCAATTATGCTTTTCTAAATTAAATAGCATAGAAGAGGAACTAGATGCTAGGCTAGTGCACAGGGACTTAGATTTTAGATCTATCTTCACTGCTGACCGGGCAGTTTTGAACCCAACACTTAAATACTCCAAGACTCCACTTTTTCACTTACAAAATGAAGCTACCACTTGCTCTCCCTACTCGGGAAAAATATTATAAGGATAAAAAGTAAAAATCATTCTGGACCTTTCCATAGAAAAACACTGTAAACAAACACACAACTGTTGGAGGTATCAGTAGTTATTACAGACAAGGAGCCTCCAAATTACAGGAGTTGTGCTTTGTTGCAGTTATCTAGAAGGCAGCAGACAAGCGATATTAGGAAATGAAAATAAAGTTAATGATGATAAACAGTCTGCAAAACTCACATTAATTTATTTTCTCTAAAATATGGAAACATGCAATTGTCTGGCTTTTCTCCAAAAGAAAAAACTTATTTTTAGATTCCTTGTAAAAGAGGATAGTTAAGATCCAAAATACACGTCTTCCATACTCTCTCTTATGCCTGCAATAAAAATACACAAGAATAGAAATCAGAATAACTAAGTAAACACAATAGATTATCCTTACCAAATCCATTATTAAAAGTGCTTCTGAAGCCACTCTCACCTGAAATGGCTCCTGAAATATAAAAAAAAAAAAAAAATGGGGGGGCATAAAAATAGAGATTTTATTTTCCCAAATTGGAACATCCTTTTTCTCCTTTACCTATCCTGCCAAGTCTAACTAGTCAAGGTTCAGTGCAAACCAGACTTTATTTAAAATTACTATTCAAAACCCCATCATGAAGAAATTCCGCTCTTATTTCCCATCTGTCTCACTAATCTGACCTTTAACATACCTTGCTTTCACATACATATGCATCATTTCTCCAAAATCTGTATTTCTCACAAATAAGACACCCACACGTAATACTGCAGGACACAGTGTGCTTATGAAAATAGCATCGGGGGGAGGGGGTTTCACGGTTGGCCAAAAAAAAGTATAACAGGTACATTATTTTTGTAAAAATAAGACTAAAAATTCCTTAAGAGCAGGAATTATACTTGAAACTTTATTTCCACATTAACACAATGCCTTGCATACACAGAAAAAGAATATTTCATGCCTGACAGGAAGGCATTATTCATGGTCATTCACTGGTGCATAAATAGTACCTGCTTTTCTTCACTGAAAAAATTACAAGGTATCAGCTGGAAGGGATCAAATGAGCTGAAAGAGAAAAAAACAGATATTTTTAATATAATTTCAATAACAAAATTAGAAAAGTAACTTTTATTTAAACAATTTAAAAATGTATATCAATAATCTAAACCCAAATTCTGTGTGAATGAGAAAAATATTACATTAGGAGAATTTCTTAGGACATTCCATAAAACCTTTTGGGAAAACATTGTTCTTTTGAACTTGACAAAGAAATGGGAAGTGGTAGAACTCTGAGAGGAAATAAATGCTCCTGTCTTAATTTCTTTTAACACCCAGAGAGGAAAACACTATAGTCCTGCACTGAAAGCAGATTTCAAAAAGTTCAAAGAAAATGTAACTGATTCTGACATGAGACCTGAAAGTACAAAATGGAAGTTTCTCCAAAACACTTCTGTCAGTACAATCATGTGCACAGCACACAGTATGGAACTAAATAAATATCTGTTGAATGAATGAATGACAATTCTGGCTAGAGAAAGTTCCAGATAAACTCATATTTTGAAATGAGAAAAAAAAAAAAAAAAAGGAAAGAGGAGGCACCTAAGCAAGGCTAGATAAAGAAGCATGCATAAATCTGAGAAATGTTAAAGGTCTTTGCCCAGCAAAGAATTGAAGTTTGAGAAAAATGTTAACAATAAAAAGATATTTTTGGCTATGTCCAGAGATAAGAAGACAAGAAAAACAAAGAATGTCTTCATATCAACACAACTAGAAAAGAGCAATACTATTCACAGTTCCTGTTCTATCAAAGATGGCTTTAGCTCCAAGACAGTAAATTCTTTGTTTTGCTTAATACTATATCCCAAGTGCCTAGAACAGTGACTGACAGATAGCAAGTACTCAGAAATATCTGTTGAATGCAGAAGACCTTCAAATTGGAGAGTGCTTACTCAACACAAACAAAAAGAAACTAAAGGTCAAGATAGAGAAAACAGAGCACAGCACTACTCAAAGAGCAGAGAAGAGCATCCAGAGCACTGAAGAACCACTATGGAGAACTACTGTCAGTGTTTTCTGAGGCGCTACGGAGGGTAGGAAAGTTATCTGAGGACTAGAGATAGGCAACCATTGGGATGGTTTTCAAACCACAGGCTTCAGAAACAGAGGAATCACATGTTGAAAACTCGCAGGATTTCAGAAAAGATTAAACAGCTGATTTGTGAGCCTTTAGCATGTAAAGAGGTGACTACACCTACTCCTCACTTATTGACTGTATGGTTATCCAACATTTTGCATTTATAACAACAGAAAAAAACCTACTATCCCACTATGTTGCACATTAATGAGGAGCAGAGGTGAGAGGGAGCGGAGGAAGAGGAAGGCAAGGTTTGTGAGAGGGAGCCAGGCCGCCTGCTGGCAGTTTGTATTACCCGGGTTGGGCGGAGGAGTAGAGCCAGGCCGAGGTGAGTGTGGGGTGGGCGGGTGGTGCGCAGGAGGTGGGGGCGGCCAGACTGTGAGGAGGTGGGCAGAGCCGGGGCTGCAGGAGACAGGAGTTAGTGATGGGACTCAGAAGCTGCTTCTTCCAAGAGGCCTCTATGCTACGTCCGCAGCCTCTGCCAGGCCCTGGTGGCTGGGCCTCACGTGCCTGCAGGCCCATCTCCAGGGCCGGCAGAGCAGGAAGGTAGACAGGCAAGGTGTGGGAGTCCCTGCGGAGGCCTGGACCAAGGCCAGGTGATGGTAGGCCCCTGCTGCTCAGGAGGTGGCAGGCAATCCCCGACCACCACCACCCCTCAACTGTGTGGGCTCGGCAGTAGTGCGGGAGGTGTGGTGGCGAAAGGGGTCTGTGGTGTGACAGACATCCCGAGACATGCCAGGGGGGCCCACGGGTGGGGGGGTGGCGGGGGAGACACCAGCGCTTAAGGTGGGGCACAGCCCCATCTCTCACATAAAACCGATTTTCATGTAACTACCTGGTCTTTGGAACCTAACCATGTCGATAAGCAAGGAGTGGGCAAACTAAGGATAATGGATTTACGAAAAAGTCAAAAGTAAACCTAAATTTCATTTTTGATAGGAATAATCTGCTAAGAAACTAGCAGACTAACATAAAGACTCAAATATACTTTATCTGAATTTAAGCAACATATCTGCTATGATTATCCTTATGCATAAAATGAAGAAATATGGGTTAATTGTGGAAATTCACAGATTTCTGCACAACGATGTCTGAGGTTTACATTTATTCCAGTTAGACATTTTAATCAGTGACTAATGACAGAGAAGTCAAGCTTATTGAAACACTGATGATTCAAAGCTACAGAAGCTAATATGAGAAAAGTGGATCTGGATTCAAAAAGACCCTGACAAGCTGGAACAACGACTTGAAAATCACAGTAAATATCAGCCTCATATTTAGATTGAGAAAATCAACTGTCTAAATACTAGATGAGGAGTCTTGACTTATGTTTTGCATAGTTTAGCTCATTTAATTTAGTCTTACAACTGTATAAGTTTTTATTTTCATTTTATTTTAGAGAGGTAATATGTAGTGTAATGGTTAGGAACAGGGATTCTTAAGTTTTAATCGAAGCTCCACCACTAACTAGCATGGGCAAGTTGCCCAAATTCTCTGCGTGTCCCAGTTTCCTCATCTGTAAAATGGGAATATTGATATTAACCACCTCATAGGGTTGTTAAAGGATTAAAAAAGTTAATAGATGTAAAGTACTTGAAAAACAGCTAACAGTGTTAGCTATTATAATTATTATTTTCTAAATGAGTACCCAAGGCTTATAAAGACTTTAAGTAACTTAACCAAAGGCATACAACTGGTGTCAGGGTTCTTTCCATTGAAAATGACCTAGTGGCATTCTTAGACATCTTATTTTAAAAGGAACACTGATGAACTATAGTTAATTCAACGTGCAGCTGCAAAAGGTGAAAGGTCTAGAAAATCAAGGCATATGAAGAAAAATGATGGACCTGGATATGTTTAGCTTAAATAAGACAATTTCAGAGGAACGTCTTCAACTACCTGAAAAAATACTGTTTTAAAAGATTTAGCTTGTTTGGTGACCTTTAATGTTAAGTTACAAAATTTTGCTTACTATCAAAAAAACTTCCTAACAATCAGCACCACCCAAAAACAGAACAGTTGTTTAACGAGGTTGGCTGTCCATAATGTCTTAAGGACACCTATTACAAACAAGGTCCCTTTATAACACACATTGGATTCTATATTCACCCAAACCTGAACAAATTTAAAACTTCTGCTTCAGGTCTCCCAAACTGATGATCAGTAAAATAAAAAAATTTTGCACTATTTTTTAACTTAATGTGAACAGTGCAATGAAGCTAACGTGGGACAGTTTTTCCATACATTTTTAAACCATTTTTGATAAGTTAAAAAAAAAAGAAAATCACATTTATATACATAGCACTATACCTTTTTGTTGACCTTGGCACTTTTGAAGATTTAACAGGTTTACATTTTTCCTCTTCTCTTCTTCTTGCCAACTCCTCAGCAGAAAGATGCTAAAACATAAAACACCAGTTCACCAAAGAGTCCATCAACCACTGAGAGGTAGAGTTCATAAAAATACTCCTTTAAAACGAAATAAAATGGCATGTGAGAACAAGACAGACTAAACTGCTGCATATGCTTCTCCTGCCCGCTACTAAAAATCAGAAATGCTGGACAATATATTTTTAAAAATATTTAAAAATATACCACCATACCAAATTTACAATTTACTCCTTCTCTTGACTTGTTCATTTCAATCAATAGTACTGATCACCTAGGCTCAAAAACCTCAGTCACCTGAGTGCTTTCTGTTACTTCTCATATCTAGTCACCGAGTCCTACTGTACTGAGTTTTTCTACACAACTGAGAGACAGCACAACATAATGATTAAGAGCACAGATTCTAGAGCTAGAACGCCTGGCTCTGCTACTTACTAGGTGGGTTACTCTGGGCAAGTTACTGAAGCTTTCTGTGCTTTAGTTTCCTCATCTTTAATATAGGAACAATAATAGTATTAACAACATGTCATGGTGTTACTGTGAAAGATTAAATGAGTTAATGTTTGTAAAATACTGACAACAGCATAAGTCACACGGTCACACAGTAAGTCCTATGTACTTGTAACTCTGTATTCATTCCATTCCTATCACTAAACTTATACTCTAGCCAAATGAACTATTCGCCTTTTCTAGAATATGTCTAAGATTTTCTCATGTTTGCACCTTTGTTTCTGCTACTTCGTAACACTTCAATGTTTGTAATTCAATACACATCTAATGCTTGAAACAGTATTTTAATTTGTATATCAGAACATCATTCAATAAATGTGTATTAAAATGAATCAGGCATACCAATTTCCTGACACCCTAGAAGATGTTCTTGAGACAGAGACAGGAACGTGGAGATACAGAATCAAAGTTCTGAAAACAAGTCGTTTCTAGTTAACTGCATCACTAATGCCTTTTACTTTGTTGTTTACTGGTGACTTCTAGACAAACAAATTGACATGGAATGAAGACATATATATGTATACATATGAAACAAGTGTATGTATGTTGTTGTTAGGAGCCGTCGAGTCAATTTTAACTCACAGCAACCCTATGTACAACAGAATGAAACACTGGCCGGTCCTGTGCCATCCTCACAATTGTTGTTATGCTTAAGCCCACTGTTGCAGTTACTGTGTCAATCCATCTTGTTGAGGGTCTTCCTCTTTTTCGCTGACTCTCTACTTTACCAAGCGTGATGTGTTTATATAAGACATTAAAATATACAAATATATACTGACAAAACAGCTTTCGTGGATGAGCCATCTGAAAAGGCTGAAGTTACCTCAAATGTTTGTCCTTCTAAGTCCTTTGCATCACACCAGTTGCCCCATGGATCTCGGACCCTTCGTCTCCTTGTACGCTGTGATTTGATTAAAATAAAGCAAAAGGTAACGAGATTAACTTGCAGAAATCATAGCACATAAATTCATAAAACCAAAATAATAATTTTCTAAGAATTAATTTATCCACTTAAAATACTGTAATCTCTGATCAGCAATGCCTAAATTTTATTAATTTATGTTCAACAGTTAGCACTGTTTAGCAATGTATCAGTGATGATTTTCTGTGTATCGCCTGGATTGCTTCTTTAATTTTCATTTCCTTTCACCATTTGGAAGTAAAACACTAGGATGAAAAATATTTTTAAGACCAAAAAGAACCACTAAGAAAATGATTTTCTACTACTTGTAGAAAATGTGTGAGAAAATACAGCAAGAATTATGATATTGAAAACTAGAAGTAGTTTTAAACTGAGATTATTTCTCAGTCTTAGAAAGGAAAAGATTACCTAGTTAGTACAAATAATGAAAAACTACAAATTACTAATACTCAGTTTTGCAAATCTCAATACTAAGGCCCTAAAGACAGACCAGCTGCCGGAGGCCAGTGTACTATTGGCAGCATCCCCAGCAACTATATTAGGAAACATCCTTTCTTAAGATAGTAAATCTAGGTAGAAACGGTTTACAGCCTAAATACTCTGATAAAAATATCTATCATCTATACTTTTTTTCATTTATCTGACCTATTATCAATTTACTCTATTCAATCAATAAAACCATTAAGATCATACTATGACTCTGCCTTATAAGAAGCTTGCTGGATCGTTTATTTTTTTTAAATAAGATTCAAGAATTTTAAAATACTGCAAAACTTACTACCTCTAAAAATTAAAAGACAAAGTATTTTAGATAGCTATTCCAAAAAGCTGATTCTTAAGAAAAAAAGGAAAAAAGAGCTTAACTGTATAGTTTTAAAAGACAGATTTATAAATTAAAACCAAACAGCCTAAGACTGCTTTAGCCAAAAAAAGGAAAAAAAAGCTCCGTATAAAGTTTGTCACTGAGTTTTGAGAGGATTTTTGGGTTGTTTTTGCCTCATAAACCAACATGAACACGAATGGAAGCCATAAACGTGAGTGGCTGAAGTGAAATGCAAGAGAAACATATTCTCCCATTAAATGGTCATTTGCTCAACAGTTGAAGAGAAGCAGGCATACCTTGCTTTAGAGTAAGGGGCAATTTGGAGAGATCTTTTAGAGAGCAAACTGATGGCTTACCATAGACTGCAGACGCTGGGCAAGTTGGTAGGCTTCTACCGTGTCTTTTCTGTCTTTGATTCGCACTTTATCAACTGGCTGTGGTCTGTTATATACAGCTTGTTCTATCAGAGTTAAAGAAAAATAAAACGATCAATTATTTTATGAAACTCATTTGTTAAAATAGGAAGACACATTTACAGTGGCTATAAATTGTAAGTCAATTTCTAAGTTTTTTTACAGCTGAGCTTCTATGATTCTGTGTTATTCCACAATCATACATTAAGTATTCTTAAATAAAATAATGCTTTTATTATAAGGAAATCTCAATCAAATGGAATATTTGGGAAGAGAGGAATTTATTTTCTGATTGAGTGCTAAACCTACTTTGATGGAGCCCTGGTGGCGTACTAGTTAAGTGCTTGGCCGTTAACTAAAAGACTGGTGGTTCGAACCTACCTAGTGGCTCCACGGGAGAAAGACCTGGTGATCTGCTCCCATAAAGATTACAGCCTAGAAAACTCTATGGGGAAGTTCTACTCTGTCACGTGGGGTCACTATGAGTTGAAAATCGACTTGACAGCACCTAACAATGAGCCTTCTGGAAGTATAACACAGAAAACATGATTTCATTGCTCTTTTTAGTGGCTGAGGGAGTTAAAATGCCTTCGTTTTCCTGAAAAGCCAGTCTCAATATACAGTGATATGGGCAAACAAAGACACTGAAATGAAAGACAGACTCCAGGGCAGACCATAAATTCTATCATCTCTATATAAAATAAAATAATCTTGGACAAGAGGTTTTCTGGTTAGATGTCTCATATTCAAATGAATACAGAATATACTTTTCTTAATGGATTACAAGGTTCTAATTACCTTACCACTGTGCAACTATAGCTACCTTTTTCTTGAAAAAGTTTGCATCATGTTAATTCAATAAAAAGGCAGAATTTATTTAAATATATGCATATTCATCAACTTTATATTTGGAAACAACCTACGTGAAAGAACTGTTCTTCCATGAAAAAATATTTTGGCACTTCTATTACACGTAACTGTAGAGGTTCACAAACTATTTCCTTTATTTAAACAACAATAGACAGCATTTTTAACACTAATACAGTATTTGCAAATTAAATGGGCTATTGTTACTTCTCATAATTTCCTTTTACCTGACCAAAACAAACTGCATTCTTAAATTATTTCTTTTACTTAGATTGAGTATTTTTCCTTTAAAATTATACCACCAATTTTCATTATAGGTCAATGGAAAATATAGTTCAATCAAAAGAAATCTGTTTTACAGTAAAATCTCAAAATACTTATTCCAGAATATTATAGCATCTCTTTGAATTCTACATCTGTATTTAAATTTACTTAAATTCTAACCACCAAAGAAATTAATAGGTGCTGTAAGGATAAAAATGTCAAATAAAAGATGTTGTTGGGTTTTTATTTTTACCACATCCAAAATTGATTGCTCCTATCAATTCGAGGTATGTATGAATCCGTCCAATACAATTAACATCCCCACAGTTCTTCAGGCCAGGACGTACTGAGGTCTTATTTAAGTATTTCGGTTTGCATATCTCCCTAATCAAGAGATGGAAGTACAATTATTTTGGATTAAAAAAAAAACATGAAAAAAAAATTTCTGGGAAAACTTTTAATATTTGAAATATCTTACAATTTTACCACCCTTTCTCAGTGTGTAAACGTGTAGTAAATACAACATTAATACATAATATCCCAGTGTATTTTTTCTGAAATAAAATATCTTTAAATGATGCAATAACTCCCAAATATAGTACAATTTGTACAAGTATTATTTCTTCCCCAACATTAAATTCAATATATTCCAGTTACCCCAGGACCTGGAAGTTAGAAGCTTATTCATCTACAGATCCAAATTCAAGCAAGCCTGAATCTTTTAATAAAAAAGGGTACTCTGATAATAGCATACTGAAGGTATTAAAACCAGTTGTCATAAAGCTGATTCCAACTCATGGCGGCAACCTCATGAATGTCAGAGTAGAACTGTGTTCCACAGGGTTTTCAATGTCTGATTTTTCAGAAGTAGTTTGCCAGGCCTTTCTTCTATAGTGCCTCTGGGTAGACTTGAACCACCAACCTTTCGGTTAACAGCAAAGCACAGTAATTGTTTATGCCACCCAGGGACTCCTTAAAGTTTGAACATTACTTTTTCAATTTTTAATAATTATGTTCATCTACTCTTACTTTACTGGACATTTTTTTTTTTTCATTACTAGTCAAATTCTTAAAAGTTTTATATTAAATTTTAATCATTATGCCAATAAATAGTAAGTGCTTATTCTCAGTAGAAAACAGAAAGAGATACTATAGGAGATCCAAAAGGAATCGAAAAGTTCCCAAAGACTATGGAAAAATCAAGAGGTTTATCTAATAAAAAATTTGCTGAATATACTTAATATACCAGGCTAGACAGCATTATATAAAATTTAAGAATAATACAGGACTTAATAATAAAACCAAACCACACTAAACCCGCTGCAGTTGAGTTGATTCCGACTCATAGCAACCCTATAGGACAGAGGAGAACTGCCCCATAGGGTTTCCCAGGAGTGGCTGGGGGATTCCAACTGCCAACCTTTTGGTTACTAGCCGAGCTCTGAACCCCTGTACCACCAGGGCTCTGGACTTAATAATAGCAATCATCATTTACTGACTGCTTATGCCAGATGCTGTTATATATTCTCAATCCTCACAGCAACTGTACAAGGTAGATGCTATTATTCCCATTTTACAGATAAGGAAACAAGAGGGTCAAAGGAATTAAAGTACTTACTTAAGGAAGTGCTGAGTCAGGACTCAAGCACAGATACCATAAACCAGATATTCAGATACCTAAGTATTTCTTACTCAATCACTATTTTATTCTATAAACATTTATTTTGCACCCTCCAAACCAGGCATTGCTCTAGGCACCAGAGATATGGAGATGAACAATACAAAGTCCCTGATGTCACAGAACTTACTATGGGGGAGACACAATGCTCTGTCAGGAAGCAATAAGCACTAAGAAGAAAAAGTAAGACAGATAAAAAGATGGAGTGGACAAACAGGCACAGAGTATTTTAGATTAGGGGGGTTTCTCTAAGCAGAAACCAAATTTAAAAATCATAAATTTTATAGAAGTTCAGGGAAGGGAAAAATAATTTGTGATTTGGGAAGGTATTGTAAGTTTTGTAGAAAAGTTGAGTTTTCATTGTGTCTTGAAAAGAAACAAACTGCACAGATGAAGGCAAGAAAGCAGGAATGAGCACAGTTACTGAATTCTAAAAAACTGCTATCAATCTAGTATTACCTAAATCAAAAGGCTTAACAGAACTCAGGAATCTAGCACACTGCTGAACACACAGTAAGGGCTCTGTAAATATCTGTTCAGAGTAATGATTCATTCATTTAATCTTTTTCTTCCAACAAATACTGAGTGCCCTTTATATCCCAAGCACTGTTTTAAGACAAAAAACTACCCTCATGGAGCCTGCACTGTCATGTGTACATGGGGAGTAGACAATACCCAAATAAAAATAGTTTCAGTGGTAATAAGTTCTATGGAGATAAATAAAGAAGGGTAAGAAAACAAAGGATGAGAGGGAGGAGATGTGTGAGCTATTTTACATAGAGTGGTCAGAGAGGTCCACTCTGAATTTCCTTGAGCAGACCTGAATGAGACCTGAAGCAAGACTCACCAAGATCTGGACGGAAAGAACATAGAAGGCAGAGTGAAAAGTCAGGGAAAAGGCCCAGAGTTGAAAGGGTAAAAATAATGAGTGATGACTGCAGACGCTGGAATTACCTTTGCCTAGTCGATGGCAATGGGTTTGGTTTAGTTTAGTGTGATCTGGTACAAATTCCTTATTCTCTCTGAACCTCATTTTTCTTATCTGTAAAATGAGGGTGGTATCTACTCTGCAAAGGTGTCGAGAGGACTGGAGATTATTTAAATGCAGTTCATGGCATTTAGCAGGCATTCAACAATGATAGCTGTTAGTATTTTAATAAAAACATTCCCTTAACAGGTAGTCAATTCCACAGGCTTTTATGGAAAGGATCTTTTTAGCTACAAAGAAATCTGGCAGGCCTCTCTGTTTTTTTAAAAATTTTTATTCTTCTTCTTCTTCTTTTTTTTTTTTTTAAACACAACCTCTGGTCCCTTCTTTCTCTTCTATTTCTGAAGAGAAAAGATTTGAGTTACTGTTCAAATCACTTCTTTTTGCTTTAATACTTTGTTCTGCTAAATCACCAGATTGAAACAGCAACATCTAACTAGTTTGGGGGATCATTTCATGAATTAAAGCAAATGGCATGAGAAAACTACTATCATATAATTTTTACTACCTATATAAATTATTCTGTCTCATTTAGAACCCAAAATTCAAAGTAAAAAATGGAATCTGATTAAAGTAACATTAAGTATTCACTGATCACAAAAACACTGCTAAGTTATGATTCCGAAGCCCTTCCATTTTGGCTTTCACCTTCTTACTACTTCTAAGAACAAACATAAATATCAATAGAGATCTAATCTGTCTTTTTTTAAAAGTATGAATTAGGCAATGTGGAATAGTGGATAGAGTGTGATTTAGAATCAAGATGTGAAGTGAAATCTTTCCTCTGTTACTGGCTGGCTGGATAACCAAAGGCAGGTCTATAAACCCCTCCAAACCTCAGAATTCTTCTCTATCAAATAGAGATAATACTCCCTGCCTATTTCACAGGATTGTTGTGAAGAATCAAATGAGATGTTACAGAAAAGCTTTCTGTAAACTGCAAAGCACTATAAAAATGTCAGGAGTTGCTCCTTAGAAGTATTCTTTACTGTGATGACACCTGTACTCAGAAGTTGTACTTTTAACAACCCTAACCATCTGTAAGATGCTATAACTCAAAAACAAGATAAAAAATCTCCTAGAATATGGCTATCCTTAAAAGCCAAATGACTTAATATTGTATGGATAAGATGAAAGTTACTGATTTAAAAAGCCTGGTTATGTTTTCGTTTTGTAACCTTTCTAGGTTTAGCAGAAAGCTATTGCAATAGGATGAGAAGACCCTTCATAGAAGAGAAAAACGAGGGACAAATACAAGGAAATGTGAAGCTCTCTATCGATGGCCTTACACAATTCAGTAACTACTGAAGCAATAACAATTATGAATACTTAGTGATGGTTTAATAAAGCCATTAAGAAAAATTCAAATTACCTCCAGAGTACTTAGGTTAACAAGGTGGGAAGTTTTTTGGTCTACTTCTCATCTCCCACTAAATAATTCAAAAATAAGTGCTGACAATACAGAGGATAAACTTCATATATCAGAAAATTCCTATATCCTGATGAAGCTGGATAAAGGATATTATGCCACAACTTTAACATTTAAAGCAAAGGCAGCTATTTAGGAGAATGGCTTCTGCAATCTAGCCACACTATCCCTCTGTCATCAAAGTTTTTTTTTTTTTTTTTTTTTAACTTCAAAGTACATCATAGACTTAGAAAGAAAAAGACATTCTCTCCTTTTTCTAGTGCAGAACCTCACATTGTCCTAAGAAATAGACTCTTCAGGTAATCACCTTTTCCAGGTCTGAACACCCTAATGGACAAGCAGATGGGCAGCTATAAATGACAATGTTAACCAGTTTTCAAAAAAGCTTCACTCTGAGAAATTTAAAATCTTGCCCACTGAAATACAATAAGCTGTCTGGGTCACTATCAATGTAAGATACTAAATTCTTAACAGGCCTAATTAAAATACTTCAGAGTATCATGAGTTTTAAAACACCTTTTAAAATATAATTCTTTCTTACCACTGATCCAAAATGTAATTCCTAATTTTCAAATAGCGTTCTGGTGTTTTAGCTTGGCGTCCCTCAAAAAACTCAGGAATTGCTTGCTTTTCTTCTTCCTGAATGATATTTCTATCTATTTCTACTTCTTCTTCTGGTGGCTTAAGCTCTTCTTCCTCACGGTTCTCCTCTTTGATTTGACAGGAAGAATGAAAAAGCATTTCCTTATCAATCAGATCTTTCTGAACTTCACAAGGCTCTGGAAAAGGCAACTGCCTAGCACCATCTCTTATTCCATTTTCACAATGCTTGTCACAGTTTTTAATCAGTTCATTACATTTCTGATTATTTAAGTCAACTGATTTTTTGTCACTGGTGCTCTGTTTTTCAGTCCATAACGTAATTACCGAGCTTGAAAGTATTTCTGCCTCGCCTTGCTTTACATTCCGAAGACCTTCCTTGGAAGATTTAGAAAAGGACTCTTTCTCTGTGTGTGAAGCAATGAATTCTCCTTGATTGGTTTCATGAGTTATACTATCTGGAATGTCTACCAAGCGACCACTGCTAGGATTCTTTTCAGGTGCGTGAGTAGTCAACTCATCAGCCTCATCTGTGATGTCCACTTCTTCATCATCAGATAACTTTTCAATTTTCACAGCATTCAGGTTTGGATCTGCAAGTCCCCTTAAACCTGACAGTGATGGTGACCATGCCTTTGTCCCTTCATCTTCATTTTTAATCTGAAGGTCACTGTTGCTCTTCTGATTTGGTGTTTCTTTCTCCAGACCACCTAATTTTACCTTGTTAAAAATCAGGATAAAACCCCCAAAGTATTAGCGTTATAAAAATTAAGAACTGGCACAAAAAATACAGGTTAAACACAATGCTATCAATCTAAGCACAAGTCAATCACATTTTTATTGTGCTTTCTTTAAATGGTTCACAATTACATTCTGATCACCATCATTTCAAATTTCCATAAATATACTTGATTCATTTATGGTCTGATGATCTTTATTAACCAAAAATCATGAACTACATAAAACTACTTCTTTTTCAATATTAAGTTTTAAAGTCTGGCTCAGATCAACCATAAAGAATGAGCTAATAACTATTATACAAAGATATTCTAAGATTAAAATACTCATAAAGGCTCAGAATATCTGAAACCTCAGGTGAATCCTTAATTTAAAGGAATCCATTTCTGAGTAACCTCACAGATCTTTACTTAGCAAATGAAAATGATCTTTCATTTAAATACAGAGACAACAGAAAAAAACTTTTTTGTAGATTCATTTAATGCAGCTGCAATATTATAAAGCTTATAATTTAAGGCAAGAAATTATCTTCCATATCTACTATTGTAGACATAAATATGTGGTAATGTAACAAGGAAAAGATAATGAAAGTCAATGAATAAATATGACTTGAAATAAAATTTTTACACACAGAGTTTTTGAAAAAACTTGTACATGACTGATATACCCAAGGGATATGATAGCTCTCAAAGAGATTATTTACAGATTGTATACCACAATAGAATCCCGGGGTCACATATTTATGGTTAACTGGCTTAATAGGTTGAGGAGAACGAAACGTAGCAGGAGAGAAGAGGAGATTTGGACATACAACCCAAGTAGCCTTTATTTATTTATAACAAGTAGCCTTGTTATTTATTTGAAGTCTTTTTTTATCTTAAAAATTCACGTGAAATTCTGTACTATATTTCATAATATATCAATGTCTATTTTAATATCAAAATGAATCTCTCTGCTCCAAGTCTTTGAGTAAAATCGACACTTCAAGATGCACCACATATAGCCTAGAATTATGCATGTCCCAGTTTGAGAAGCATGGGGCTAAGAATAACCAAGTCAAGCTTTATTCTGTTCCATGATACTTCAACCTTGTCTATCTGTTGCCGTCGAGTCAATCCCAACTCATAGCGACCCTATAGGAGACAGCAGAACTGCCCCATAGGGTTTCCAAGGAGTGGCTGCTGGATTTGAACTGACCTTTTGGTTAGCAGCCGAGCTCTTAAACACTGCCCCACCAGGGCTCCCACCCTTGTCTAACTGCTTTGAAGAGGCTTTTGTTTGGTTAGAAGAAAAAGCAGGTGACTGATATAGTTGAATTCATTCCATTACTTAACACCTATCCCAACTGACACTAGGTTAGACATAATTTTATACACAGAGTACATCTCATTATTTATCTTAAAAGATAACACCAAATTTCACTTAAGACATTTCCAAATTCCATATAATTATGTTCACAGAACTCAAGCAGAATATATTTAAAAATCCTAAATATCAAAACTATATGCTTAAATACAGCAGATTGCTTGAAAGATTAAGGAACTAGACCATAACTAACCCTTTCCAAACACTGCTATTTATTCAAGTTTTCAGACAATTCTTTACAACAATTGTAAAAGTTTCATTGCTATTAAACAGATTTCAGAATCATGTTAACAGCTATAGCCCCTAAGCTCTAATAATGCTTTAAAGTTCCTATAAAGCAAATATTTAAAAAGAAAAGATATTTTTCTAGAGGAAACATTAAAATGAGACCTCTAAGATTTTTCCTTTGTAATACACTTCATGCTTTGTAGGATGTTTTTGAGCAATTACTATTTTGTCCTTTTATTTAGCTGTCTGAAATTAAGTGGAATAACATGACTACCTTTTTAATTGCAACACTCACAACATTAAAGGTATGCTATGGGGTTTTTAAAGATAAACATGTGGATAGTACTTTCTGGGTTATACTGCATTTTCAATATAAAAACTTTTAATAATGAAACTTTAATGCCTGAAATATTTCTGATTATTGATTTTGTTTCTTCTAAATATTATCATTATGAAGTAGGAGATTTATACTTTGCTTACCTTATTTTTAAAGTACTGTCTGGCATAACTCTTCACTTGTAAAACAGTGCGACTTCCTATTAGCTTTGCGATTTTGGTCCACCTTCGACCAAATTTAGCCTATTATCAAAATAAAAAAAAAAAATGCTTTTGATTAACTTGTTAACATTCCAAGCAACTGACAAATCAAAACAAACAAACAAAAAACTAAAAGAACAATCCATATTTATTTTCTTAAAGCACACTTCAATAAAGCCTCCTACAGACTAGGCTATTAAAGCCCATGATCTTCTTTTGGAACATGAACTTCTGAAAACTGGCCAAAATGATTCAGAAGTTATTTTTTTTTTTTTTAATAGCTATCTAAATGAAGATCCAACACTTCTATCACCTGACAGTATGCATTTATATTACACATTGCTATCCCCAGTCTAAGATAAATTTTTAAAAGAAATACATGTCTTAAAAGAAAACAGGTTACATTTTTCCATTTACAGAATCAACTGAGTATGTTCTGACACGAATTTCAAAATAACATTTTGTTTTACTCAGCTTTCATCTTCTGCAACATCCATTACATATCCCCACAGCATATACCTTTACTGTATATAGGTAGCACCGTGGACTAACTTACAAGATGGATCACAAATGAATCACACCTGAACCAATGCCCCTAAACTCCTCTAGTCAAAGCTTTGCACTTGCTAACACTGAAGCTGTGGTGGAGAACAACTTAGAACTTGAGGCAATGCCCATGTGTTCTGAAGTACAGAAATGAATTCATATAATTTTAGTGCTGAAAAGGATTTTTAGATATCAAGTGTAACTATTATCTGACTCACAATCTTTTTTACAACAAATCCAACACAAGAGACTCTATATTTCCCAATGCAGTTCAACAATTCTAATTGTTTAGAATTCTTAAAAACTATGGGGAGGCAAAAAAAAAAAAACCAGCCCAGAAACAGCCACAACTCAGGGAAGCTGATCCCAAGGCTAGATTTACAGGCCAGGCAGTCATGCCTGATGGTAGCAAATCATCCTCAAAGATCTGACCCAAATGATAAACCTTAATTTATACACATTACTTATTTCCGGCACTCATTAGAGACTGTGGTATACCAGGTGATTTCTTAAAAAATGAAAGTACTTCTGGGAAAGTATTCGTAAGTATATATTAATTACTTAAGGTTGCTTTTAACTAACACTTAGCTAGGATCAACTTACTGAAGAATTAGTTATCTGTATTGTGGGATGAAAACAAATACAGTAAAACCTGTGATAGCCGGAACTCGACGGAACTACCTTGTTTTTCTGGGTCTCGCAAGTTTTCTGCCTTTGACAGGGTGGGTGCAGTCTTAACTACTGTTCTATTGCTCTCTATTAGTGGAAAATATTTGTTTCCTTCTCTGACAGGTTTCCTCCTTTCACAGGTTCTGGCTTTAGCATGTTTTATTCTAGATAATTTGGTAGAATGGAGCACTTTGGGAGACAGGAGAGATCTGCCCAAAGAGTGACTTACTGGGATTGTAGGGGCTTAGGTACTAAAAAAGAATTCGGGAGGGGACACTAACAAGAGAAGAAAATATTCACCAATTTCAAAATAGTGAAAAGGGACAGTCCTATGCCTAAGAAAAACCAGTTGCTGTCGAGTCAATTCCAACTCATGGTGACCTCATGTGTGTCAGAGCAGAACTGTGTTCCACAGGGTTTTCAATGGTTAATTTTCTGGAGTACATTGCCAGGCCTTTCTTCCGAGGCAACACAGGGTAGACTTGAGCCTCTAACCTTTCAGTTAGCAGCTGAGCAAGTTAACAGTTTACACCACCTCCCTTCATCTTTTTGTACTACATAATTCCCTTCAGCCAAGCCTGAGTGGGAACAATGGTGGTTCAGTGTTAGAATTTGTACCTTCCATGCAGGAGACCCAGGTTCAATTCCTGGCCAGTACACCTTATGCACAGCCACTACTCATCTGTCAGTGGAGGCTTATGTGTTGCTATGATGCTGAACAGGTTTCAGCAGAGCTCCCACACTAAGACTAGGAAGAAAGCCTGGTGATCTACTTCCAAAAACTAGCCAATTAAAACCCTATGGATCACAATGTTTTGATGACGCAGGCCTGGGCAGAGTGTGATTCCATTGTGCATGTGTTACCATGAGTAGGGGGCAAACTTGATGGCAGCCAACAACAACAATAACCAAGCTTGAGAGAATTCAGTCCATAAACAAGCTATATCCGTAAGTTTAAAAGGCTGGGAATATAACCAAGAATTGTGGGTTTTTTTGTGAGAAAATATTCTAAGTATCTATGTATATAAATATCTACATATCTCTGTAGATAAATATGCATTTGCTTATATATACACAAAATATCCCGGGAAGGTTGCACAAAGAACAGAGGTAACCGTGGTTACCTCAGGCAAAGAGAACTGAAAGCTAAGACATGAGTGAGAGGGAGACTTAATACCCTATAATGTTAGTACCCTTTGAATTTTTGAACCATGAAAACACAGTCCTAAAAACGAACCTTTAGTTTTCAACCCATTTGTATATGTATGCATATATAGTCTTTGATAAAGGGAAAAACCCCAAAGTTGTCAGCAACCTTAGATAAATGAATAGTGAAATTAGTTACATAAAAAACATCACAATATACAGATGTCATGGTGATGATTAGCTATAAAAATACACTTTTCCATCATCTATAGAAATGTTAACAATGCTATTTCAATTAACATTCTTCAATCTTACATAAATACGATTATATAAATATTTCTATATGACATATATAAAAATACATTTCAACATTAATTGGGACAGTAATGGGTAACATGTACCTTAAAAGATTCAACCTACTGTGAATAGTAGAAAAAAATTCCTCAATATTTTGTGAAAAGTTTCCTCACATTAAGGAGTATTTTCAGAATTAGAAATTAGCACACATTTTTCCCCCCCATTATGTAACTTGTGGACATCTAAATAGATCTCAATAAAACATTCATGTAAAAGAAACGTTTCTGGTCTTCAATTACATCCACTAAGATATTTAGACTGTGTGCACAATGTCAAGTACTGAAAACAAAGAACTCAGCTGATCACTCAGACAATTCCAAATATACAAGTTTCTTTCTTTAGCTGTGTTTTGAAAGAAAACATCAGACCGACTAAATAATTTTGCTTTTGAATCCAGTTAGTTTGTGTCATGCAGATAGATACAAGTCAATTTCTCAGGTTTTATTAGTTAAAAACAAACAAACAAACAAAAAAACTGTGGGAAGACTATTTAAAATATCAATCCAAAGGTATCTTAGTATTTTAGCAATTAAGATATACATTAGAAGGAATTCTCTTGCGCTACACTATAAATACCATCACTTTAACTGTAGAAAAACTAAAGGTGTTATCACGGTACTTAAAAAGAAATTTCTGGTCTCTACAAACTAATTTATCCTTATAACTCTATTAATATTTGCTTCTAGAATCATTTTACTATAAATTAAAAATTGCTCTATTTACCAGCCCTTGTTCAAACAGCTCTTTTTCTTCTATGGTCCACTTTACTGAGTAACTGGCTGGTTTTGTAGGAGAGTGTACCCTGAGGGGAAAAGAAGGAATTGCAAAAAAATTTCTGAAATAGAACAGTCCATATTTACGCAGCTAAAGGTTATAGATAGCCATGGGCTATATTCACTACTTTTGAGTCTAAGAATTAAAAAAAAAAAAAAAAGTCTGCAGCATTTACCAGGGGAAAGATTTACCCTGGCTTGCACACTTCTCTAGCTGAGAATGATAGGCACCCCAAAAACATAATCCTTGTGTCTGAGTGAGGATAACACTAAAAAACACCAAAGAAAGTTAGTGTGATAACAAATAAATAGACTTCCTTAAGTTGGACACAAAGCAGCAGACACTAATATATTCCCAAATCCTGACAGGCATGTAAGAGTTTAAGTTGGTTTGAGAAACATTATTATCTCTTGATTTTTCCATATAAATCCATGTAAACATTGAGCCAGAAAAGAAGTAAAAAAACTATGGCATTACATTTCTTTTAAAATACAGTATCTTAAGAAATTAAAATTGTGAAGCTCATTAATTTAACTTAAGCCATTACCTTTCAGTTAACTTCTTTTTTGTTGCTGCTTATTCAGCAAAATACAGAAGCCAGAAAGGCTGCTCAGTGCTCAAGCTATTGGCAAATGCAAATCTAAATGAATTCAGTTAAGTTCATCATTTTAAGGTAGCATGAACTTGTATGTTTATAAACACGAAATAACATCAAATTTCCTTCAATTATAGGGAAAGGACATTAATAAAAAGTTTACTTAACTTCTCTAGATAATTTAAGTTGTCTAAGTTAATTCTAACCAAGAGGTCGGCAGTTCGAATCCGCCAGGCGCTCCTTGAATGCCCTATGGGGCCGTTCTACTCTGTCCTATAGGGTCGCTATGAGTCGGAATCAACTTGACGGCAACAGATTTGGTTTTTTTTGGCTTAATTCAAATTAAATTTTTATCTAAAATAATTGAAAATTAAATGAAAGAACAACAGAAAGCAAGTCAATTCCTAATTTATTAGATAAAAGCTTCTTAAAATTTCCCCACAAATCCCTAAGAAATCATTTTTTCTGTAATCTAATGAAATCATCTGCTTAGGGCCATAATAAAAATTCTGGCAAATAAAGGATACCATATATTTTTGTATAACCCAAGGTCAAAATGGCTTTCCAAAAGACAACTATCAATTTTTTCTTAAAAATTTCCCATAATTTCTAATAAATCAAAAAGGTTTTAAAAAAACATAAGTACATACATGATTTTTCCTGTTTTCTGCAGACTGCACATGAAAAAAGAAAATAAAGTTTGTGAAGATGTTTTTAAAAATGCAATTCAAACTTTTAAAAGTATTATAAATTGATTTTACCTTTTTACATATTTTTTATCATTTTCCTTTTGATCAAGCCAGAATTTTTCTGGAAGTGATTTTTTAGATAAATAATACCTGTGTAATTATCAAGGAAACTTTTAAAACAATAATAAAAACATATAATTTTTATGTGATTTATACAAAGTAGCCACTTACATACTCATGAAAGTCACACTGGAATTTTAGATGAACCAATTCCTCCCAAAGCCCGTCAGGACTGCAAAAATTACAATAAAAATGTTTATACCTCTATGGTTGTGGAAGTTTCTATATACACGTTTATATGTGCTGCACGTACATTCATATACATAACAGAGCACATGGGGCACAGTTATGAAAACTTCTTAGACATAACCAAACACCTCGAAGGACTGAGTTATTGGGCTTGAAGGCTAAGGACCATAGCCCTGGGGAACATCCAGGTCAACTGGCATAACATGGTTCATAAAGATAATGTCGTACATCCTACACTTTGGTGAGTAGCATCTGGGGTCTTAAAAGCTTGCGAATGGCCATCTAAAATACAACTATTGGTCTCCTATATGGAGCAAAGGAGAGTGAAGAAAATCAAAGACTCAAAGAAGCGATTAGTCCAGAAGACTGATGGCCCACATGAACTACAGCCTCCTCAGGCCTGAGACCAGAAAAACCATACGGTGCCCAGCTACCACAATTGACTGCTCTGACCAGGAACACAACAGTAGGTCCTGGTAAGAGTGGGAGAAAAATGTAGAACAAAATTCAAATTCATAAGAGAGACCAGACTTACTGGTCTGATAGAGACTGGAGGAACCCTCAACGCTATAGCCCTCAGACATCCTTCTAACAGAACTGAAGCTACTCCGGGAGATCACCTTTCAGCCAAAAAATAGATAGGCCTCTAAAATAAATAACACCCATTAGGAAAGTACTCCTTAGAACAATCAACTATATGAGACCAAACGAGCAACATCTGCCCAAAGGCAAAGATGAGAAGACAGAAAAGGCAGGGAAACCGGATGAATGGAAACAAGGAACTGAGGGTGGAAATGGAGAGAGTACTGACACAGTGTGGGGACTGCAGCTATTGTCTTGGAACATTCTGTCTATGACTTACTGAATGGGAAGCTAATCTGCTGTGTAAACGTTCACCTAAAGCACAATAAAATGTTTTCCAAAAAAATGTTTATACCTTAAAGAGTTGTCATATGGATTATAAGATATTATGTGTGAAATACCACAGTACAGTGCCTGCACAAAACATGCTAAATACTAAATGCTAGTTTCTCTGCTCCTGGATTATGCAAATGGTTAATGTGCTTGGCTATTAACCGATAGGTTGGTGGTTTGAGTCCACCCAGAGGTGCCTCAGAAGAAAGGTCGCGTATCCTACTTCCAAAAAACCAGACATCGAAAACCCTATGGAGCACATTTCTACACTGACACACATGAGGTTGCCACGAGTTGGAACTGACTCTACGACAAATGTTTTTTCCCTACTAAGACCCTGTGGATACTGGGCTCCTTTAAAAAATCATCCACATGAGAGCAAACAGTCAACAATCACTTTAACACAAAGATGAGAAGGTAAGGGAGCAGGGAAACTAGATTACTGGAAATCGAACAACCAGAACAGAAATGAGAATGTTTAAGTATTGTGAAGAATGTGATCAATGTCACTGAACAATTTGCGTAGAGGCTGTTGAATGGGAACCTAATCTGCTATGTAAACTTTCACCAAAAACAAAAAAAGGGAAAAAAAAAAAAAAAAAAAAATCTGAGAAGAAATATTCCCAATGTTTTATTTAAATATTTTCTCTAAAATATATGAAGAGTATAATAAATGAAATAATAAATGAATTAGACTGACTGTCCAAGGTAGAAGTTGGGCATACTTGTTTTCATATATCTAACGATGACAGAGAAGAGTTCAGGGTTATTCTCTACCTAATAAAAAGGACAAACACTTAGGTCAAATCTACCAGGCATCCAGGAACCCTCCCTTTCAAAGTTCTTAAAACTAGACTACTGCAATACTATCAGATTAATAAAACATTCTTCATTTAGCAAATATTTACCAACTGCATACTGTGTCCAGTGCTATGCTGGTACTAGGTGCTGAGGACAAAGATGTAAGAAGACACCATTCCTATCTTCTAGGAGCTTACATAAGCTCTTATTTTCATGACTTCTAAATCTGGAAGGGAACCAATGACTACTTATGTGTTCATTAATCTAGAACTTCCAACATCACACACAGATCAAAGAAACTAGGATAAGAAGTCAGTGCCAGAATTGTGGACAAGGATCCACAACTTCTGGGGGTGGGGGATCTTCATCCTGTAGTATTTATTTCATGCTTTTTACTTATATTCCCCCCACATTACACCTGTAAATTGGTAGAGTAGAAAGTGAGAACTTTTACATATTCTAATTCTGTGTCCTTAGACAAATTAACATCTCTGGGTTTCAACTTATATAACTTTGATTAGCAGTCGTAGCTCTCACCCACTGTGCCACCAGGGCTCTACACAACTTATATAACTTTGAAAATGGAGACCTGGACTAAGTAAATTTGGATGTGGACTCAAGCTGATTTAAATATTATATAATTTTTACCGAATATAAAAAACTTACACTTGGTATAAAGAATTCGCTGACAACAGCAACTCAATAAAAATACTGAGTCAGATCTTAGACTTAGCAATAAAACAGGACTTGAGGAATAAAATGCTGCTTTTTGCTAAAAACAGATAATATTATATAATAGGAATCTAGGGCCAAATAAAACCCAGTTGACTACTCCATCTGTCCCCTCTTAAAATTTTTGCATGAATACATTTTTAACCCTGAAATCTTTACTGGTCTTATAATCATTAAAGGATACTCTTCTTCCAACAACATTTTCTCAATGACAGCTTTGTTCTCTTCACTGATGGTGCTATCCAGAGTCCAAGGCTGTTAAAAAAGAGAAAAATGTATTTTTTTCTTTTTATTTACTGTTTTTTTGTGTTATCTTCTATGTTTTGTCAAATAAAAATACATGATGATATGATGATTACAAATAATAACAACTACCATTTACTGAAGAACACAAATACATCATTTTGATTCCCATGATAACACCATTAGATAGGCATTATTATTTCAAAGATGTATCCATAGCACTGCTAGCATTTCAAGTGAAAGAGCAGAGACCAGACACACAATGTTCGATTCCAAGGCTCATGCACCTATCCATGATAAAGTAATAATGGCTATCAGGTACTAGACACTTAACCTCTTTCAAAACTTACTGTAATTCCTTTTTCTCCCCTCAAGTCACAATCTCTCCCTACACGATTATATTCATTTTCAATTCTCAAAGCGTACACATTTTCAGCTGAGATCCCCTCTCCAAGTTCCAGACTATTTTTATCTAACTGCTCACACATCATTTCCACTTGGATATCTAATAGCCTTTTCAAATTTAACATTTCAAAACAAAATTCACTATCACACACCTGTTTCTACCCTGCCTTCCCAACTTTGTAAATGACACTACCAGTCACCGAGTTATTCAAGCTAGAAACTCAGGAATCATCCTGAATTCCTTCCTGTTTTCCTCAATCTCCATATCTAATCTATCAACCAGTTCTACCTCCAAAATATAACTCAAATTTGTATCTCTTCTCTCACCATTTCAGGCCAAGCCGCCATCAAATCTTGCCTAGATCACTGCAAAAGTTTCCTAACTGGTCCCTTTGCTTCCATACTCTTCCTTCCCTACAATCTAATCTTCACCACAGCACCCAAAGTTGAGTCTTATAAAAATGAACGTACTCATCTACATAATATGTTTCAGTGACATTCCAGTTCACACAGAATAAAGTCTAAACTCTTTAGCATAATCTGAACCACTAGGCCCTGTATGATATAGCTCTTGCCTGCCTCTCCAACCTTGTCACATGCTGCCACTCCCTCCTTTCCCACTACAGTCTAGACACCAGCCTTCAATCCTTGTGCTGCTTGTTCTTTCCACCTAGAATGCTTTTTCCTCAACTATTCTCATGTCTACCTATTTCTTTTCTCTTAGCTTTCAATTTAAATGTCACCTCTTCAGAGTCACCCTTACTGACAACTTTATCTAAAACAGGCTCCCCACCTTGTTATTCTCAGCAGCATCTTTCTCATTTCCTTTATATTCTGTAACTAATTTGTCTATTTGCTTATTGCCTGAATCCCCTTGAGAATGCAATTCTTGAGAGCAGGACCACATCTGTTTTGATTGTAGCTGTACCCCTAAACCTGGCCTACTATATGGTGTACAGTAAGTACAAAATAAGTAAGTGCTAAAGGAAGAAATGATCCCCATTTTTTAGATAAAGAAGGTTCATAAATCTGGTAAGTGGCAGAGCAAGGAGTTCTACCTCAATCTAGCTGGCTCTAAAGCTGCTTCCCAATAGGCCATTTTTCCAAATCAAAAGAAATAAGAAACTTCTTTCATTTTTAAAGTAAGAAAAATGTTTCAATATATTATCTTTGTGATGGTTGACAGCAACCACCAATTAAAAAAAAAAAAAACAACCAAAAACAAAAAAAGAGCTACTCTGGGGTAACTTAATGTACCTAGTGTTTTTGCAAAATACTTACAATAAGGTCATTATCAGTTTTCCAGGATGAATCCAGATAGTGATCTTGCTGTAAAACAGATACTGTATTCTCATCACTTCTGTAATCAATAAAATAAATATAAAAGTGATATTATGTGAGGTAACAGCTATCACACCGTGACTGGCAGTTTGTAGGCATTAAGCAAATATTTAGTTCCCTTCTCCCCTTGACAGATTTAACATTGCAAAAATGTTTGTTCTACCTCTGTGGCCCGTGAAATATATGACAGCTGTAAGCTACCCTATCTCAACAGCTAAACACTAAGTCTGACTGCTCCCCTCTTTTGATTCCTCAAGAATACATTAACTTGATGCAGCAACCACAACAGGCCCTGTGGTCATAAACCACTACGTCAGATTTCTTTACCCAGGGCTGGTATATCCATGTGTATACAGGAATTCAACTTTGCATTAATTCTTCTAGCTGTATGTAAAGCATAAAAGCTACCAATAATAGCACTAGCCTCAGAATGAAGAAAAAACAGGAACACATATATAGTGGAAGAACCAAAATAGAAAGTACTTAAAAGACAGTACAGTGAAGAAAAAAATACTGTATTAAAAATACTTATAAAAACAAAAAATTAAGTTGGGTTATTTGGGGGCTTTTCTGTGTCTATGGGAAATTAAACTTTGTTAACTCTCTTACTCCTCCTATGAAACAAAGAAGAATTTTCTAAAGTCACATTTGTTCACTTCATATGCAAAAAGGCTGAAGAGCTAAGTTTCGGGAGTCCAACCTATGATATAATTACATATAGTATTTGCTTTGGAATATCTTCAAGTTATAACGTTTCTAGT